CTACGAAATGTTATATATTCAAACTAAACCCGATGCATTGAAAATATGCAAATATGTTTAGTGACTCGTTAAAGTAATAAAAACAAACCAGCCACTATTTACTCCAAAAAAAAAAAACATAAAAATGAACAATTTCTGATTTTGTTACACAAGGTGTAGTCTCATTTTTTTATTATGATTTACTTATATTGTATAACCTTTACTTAACATATCAATGTTGCCTTAATAGAGTGTATTGCACAGATTTATAGTAACGGTTTCTGACATAACATTCTGGTGGGAATATTTAGGAATAATTGGTTTTCTGTCTACATGTCTAATGTTTTCATATTAGCAGTAGCTCAGGTGGCAGAGCGGGTTGCCTCATGATCGGAGGGTCATGGGTTTGATTCCAGCTCCCGCCAGGGATATCCTGCGGTTGTGTCCTTGGGCAACACTTCACCCAACTTGCCTGTGTTAGTGGTGGTCAGAGGGGCCGACGGCGCCAAATGGCAGCCTCACCTCTGTCAGACCTCCCCAGGGCGGCTGTGGCTACAAGTAGCTTACCATCACTAGCAGTGTGTGAATGTGAGAGTGTGTGAAAAAGCGTCTTTGGGTGTCTAGAAAAGCGCCATATAAGTTCAATGCATTATTAGTGGGTTCTTAGGACGAAAAGAAATGGCTGCAACAAAGAAAGATCATTGTGTTATCATGGGGTTTATTTGAATAGAAATAAAAATACAACTTGTTAAAAGTAAATTATAAATAAAAAATTTCAATACACACATTTTTACCAAATTGTAGATAATTCAATACACTCAATCAGTCAAGACTTATGATACTTTGCTTTCGTTATAGAACGTTATGATAGTTGTGAAAGCATTTTCACCCTAATAGGATTATCTTTATTAAAATCAGCAAAGAAGTTAAATCAGTTAAATTATTATAGATTATTTGCTGCTTTATCCTGAATATTTGAAGCTTTTTGCTGGATCAGTTTTTACTTGTGGTCAGGAAACTAACCCACCCCACCCCACCCCACCCCAAATAACACATAAATTAAAAAAATACCTAAGACAAACTGATCAAAATCAATAACTACAGACATTCAGATAAATGTTATCTGATATTATGGAGTAGACTGTCACTTAACCAGGAAATGGTGATCGTATGAAGGGGAAAAAAGACCAGTTAACCAATTTTGAAACTATTTCTGATTCTTATAAAACCAGCTCAACAATACTTAGAAATTCTACCAATCAAACTTCCCATCACTGACTGATGATGTGAACGCATTTTGTTAAATTTGAAGTTAAACATCTGCCTCAAAATTTGCAACTAAATACAAATAATGTTTGTTTGAATCAAAGACCGGCACGAGGCTCAGACAGGAGCAGATGTGCTGGCCTAGAGCTGCAGGTACACTGAAGAGAAGCTCTCCATCCTCTGAACCTCTGAGTTGTCCAACAGCTCTGGTCCGGCAGCCTCCGACTCGCCTTTGTGAGTTTTATCGTGTAGGTTGAGAGATCGTCGGGCCTGGAAGCACTTTCCACAGACCTTGCAGATGTAGGGTTTCTCTCCTGTGTGAATCAGGATGTGTCTCCTCAGGTCCTCATTCTGCATGAAGCCTTTCCCACACACCTGACACAGGAAGCACCTCTCCTTGTTGTGGAAGCGGATGTGAGTGTTCAGTGTCCCTTTCTGGGTGAAGCTCTTCCCACAGATGTTGCAGGAGAACGCTTGTTCACCTGTGTGGATCTTCAGGTGTGTCTTCAAGTTGCCAATTTGGTTAAAGGTCCTTTCGCAGAAGCTGCAGGTGTACGGCTTTTCTCCACTGTGTATCCTCTGGTGCATCAGCAGCGCTGACTGACCAACGAAGGACTTTCCGCAAGTTTCGCAGGTAATGCCAGCGCAGCGATGCGACTGCAGGTGAGTGCTGAGGCTGCTGGTGGAGTCAAAGTGGTGCCCACAAACTGCACAGCAGCAGTTTGGATCCCGCCCATGAAAACTTGCATGTTTAAGTAGGAGTGATTTCTTGTCAAAGGCATCCCCACACACTCTGCAGAAGTACCCGGGTGCTTTCTTTGGTCTTCCACTTACATCAGAGTGATGGACACTCATGTGCTTCCTCAGGCTGAAACTCTTACTAAACTCCTCATTACAAACTTTGCAGGTGTAGACGGCGTTTTCTGCATGCTGCTTCACGTGGCGCTCCAATGACTTCATGTGCCAGAAGGCACGAGGGCACTCTTTGCATTGAAACGGTTTCTCTGGTGCGTGCACCTTTAGGTGAGACGTCAGGTTGCCTTTCTGACAGAACTTTTTACCACAATCCTGACAACGAAACGGCTTCTCTCCAGTGTGCAAACGGGCGTGCTGCTCCAGCGCCACGATGGAGGTGAAGGTTTTCCCGCAGAAGGAGCACGTTTTGCTGTTTTCTTGGTGAGCCTGCAGGTGAGCCGCCAGGCTGTTGGCGGAGTTCAAAACCTCCCCACAGAAGCCACAGCGGCTGTCCGGGTTGCTGAAACAGACCTTTAGGACGTGTTGGAGCAGGAAGCCTTTCCCAGGAGAAAGGCGTCCACACGTGTAGCAGGTGTAGCTCTGATCTGGCTTTGAGCGCTTCCGTTTCTTCACAACTTCTAAAGATCCGAGTGCCAGCAGGTCTCTCTTCTTCTTTCCTAAAGATCCAAACGGTCGACCTCTCTTTCTATTCCCTCTAGATTGAGAAGTCTGTTTCTGCTCACACCAGTCTTCGTCTGGACATTTATCGCTACTTGCGGAGACCGATGGCTGGTAGGATGGTGAGGCGGATCCGGGTGTTGGAGGGCAGGACACATCACTTAAGTTATTTTGTGAGTCATTCAAGTTTTTCAGGTCAGCTTCCGGCTCGAGGTTTAAGTCATTCAAGTTCTGCAGAAACTCTGGAAATATATATAGTACAACCAAATGAATATTAAGGTGAAAATCTTTAGATCTCCCAAACCAGAAATTCTCGCAATTTTTATAGCGTTTAATGATCATCACTGAATCATATTACGGCCAAAAATCTGTTTCAAAATAAAACCCCGTGTTTTACAAATGTTTCCCCATTTTGGAAGCCTTTTCAAAAACATTTTCTTTTATTTTAAAAAAACAGAACTCGTTCTCCTTAACTTATTAAATATCTAAACTTCTATGTAATCACCATTATTGGAATCCTCCTCTTCACGGTATGTCACTTCTTCGCTCATGCTGACAGGACTTTTATTTTGAAAATGGCCGGAACTGTGGCTGGACAGCTCGCCAGCTGCGGGTGATTCTGCTCCTGAAGGCGAAAAATCCTTTATCTGATCCGCCCTTTGTAACCTGACTTCGGGGTTTAATATAGTATCAAGCAGGCTCCCCTGGCGATTGATTTCCCGCTCCGACCGCTCCAATTTACCTTCATAATCCAACACAGTTTTCTTAAAAAGAGCTACTATCTCCTCCGCAGCCGCTGCTAGCCGCTCGGTGAGCACAGCTCTCAGTGTCCAGATGTCCGCCGCGTTTTCTCTGTTTTCTATCTGCTGTAAAACATCCTCAGCCGCGGCGTTAATCCGTCCATAGACCGACAACCACAGCATATCAACGCTGCACATTCTGCTGCGTTTTGGGTTTTATGAGCCGTGGGAACAGAGACACGTTAGAGATGTAAACACTCTTGTGCAGAGCCCGAAAGAGGAAAGCTAACTAGTGAACAGCGCCCCCTGCTGCACCGGGTGGCTGATTTTAGTTTAGATTTGGTGAAGGACTTTTTTTTTACTCAGGCTTTTGAAATAAACTCGTAAATTTTCAAGCTGCGGTTGAGTATGGAAGCCCATTCCCGCCACTCAGATTAAAAAAAAAATTATTAACTCATAATTATCACTTAGCTATCTCATAATAATGAGATAGTTAAGTTATAATTATGAGATAATAATTGTTTTATTTTTTTCATCTGAGTGGTGGGAATTGGCTTCCATAGATGAGAGTTTAACACTAATAAATTTGAAAAAAAATCTGCAGAGTAAAGTAGAAACATTAGTATCTAGAATTATGTTGTGCAGAATACAGATTTTACAAAATGCCTAAAATATAATTTTGTTCTACAGAACCAGTTTCTACAAACAAGTAATGTCTTTTTATTAGCAAATCAAGCCGAGGTCATAAGAATTTGTTATACAAACTGAGACCACTTAGGAAGAAGAGCTTTTGAATGTTATTCCCAGCTGCTGTCACCTGTCATTATGTCATGGGACAAAGAAAGTCCTCTGGTCTTTGGGTTCTAAAATTGTACAAATTTAACCTCGTGTAAAAAATAAAAACCAAACTCCAATATGTCATTCGTTATTAAATGAAATAGCTGTTAATCTGAATCTAATTAGAATTGTAAAATTTGCATTCAACGTTTTCTGAAATTTTTTAACCAGTCCTGCTGTTTAGATTTCTCATTAATGCAAATTGCTTAGTTTGCCATTTCAGAATGTTATGTATGTTAAATAAGTCATCGTTGTCCTTAATCAGATTTTCTGTCTGAGAAAAATGTAAAAAACAACAGATTTGTCTCTGAAATAGACTCAAACTACAAAGCAGAGCGATCATCAACTTTTTATTAAACTGGAATATTAATCATCAATAGTAAACATTATTAAACAAGAAAATGATGCAGTACGGTGTATCGGCCTGTGTAACGTCAGCTGTCTGTCATCATCTTCAGTCTCTGGGGCAGCAGTAGCTCAGGTGGTAGAGCGGGTTGCCTCATGATCGGAGGGTCATGGGTTCGATTCCAGCTCCCGCCAGGAGTATTCTGCTGTTGTGTCCTTGGGCAAGACACTTCACCCAACTTGCCTGTGTTAGTGGGTGTCAGAGGGGCCGACGGCGCCAAATGGCAGCCTCGCCTCTGTCAGACCTCCCCAGGGCGGTTGTGGCTACAAGCAGTGTGTGAATGTAGGAGTGTGTGAAAGCGTCTTTGGGTGTCTAGAAAAGCGCTATATAAGTTCAATGCATTATTATTATTATTATTATTATTATTATCTTGAGCATCATCGATAAATGTTGGCTTTTGAAAACACATCTAGCGCTTCTTTTTAATTCTTAGTTTTAAATTCTGTGAACACTTCAGTGAGAAAGACGAAATGAAAAAAGGTGACAACCAAATTGTGAAGCTGAACTTTAGAGGAGGCTCAAGTCCTCATCTACAGCTGCAGGTACACTGAAGGGAAGCCCTCCATCCCTGGAACCTCTGAGTTGTTAATACGCTCTGGTCCAGCGCCCTCCACCTCTGATTTGTGAGTTTTATCGTGTAGGTTGAGAGATCGTCGGGCCTGGAAGCACTTTCCACAGACCTTGCAGATGTAGGGTTTCTCTCCTGTGTGAATCAGGATGTGTCTCCTCAGGTCCTCGCTCTGCATGAAGCCTTTCCCACACACCTGACACAGGAAGCACCTCTCCTTGTTGTGGAAGCGCATGTGAGTGTTCAGGGCCACTTTCTGGATGAAGCTCTTCCCACAGATTCTGCAGGAGAACGCTCGTTCGCCCGTGTGGATCTTCAGGTGTGTCCGCAGAATGCCGCGTAGCTTGAATTTCTTTCCACAGGTGCTGCAGGTAAAAGGCCTTTCTTCAGAATGGATCCTCAAATGCAGCAGCAGCTCTGAGAGAAACGGGAAGTGTTTCCCGCAGACTTCGCAGGTCTTGCCGTTGTATTTGTGGGAGTCCAGGTGAGCAGAGAGGCTGTCTACAGAGTCGTACTCATGTCCACAAACTGCACAGCAGCAGTTTGGATCCTCTACATGAGTCCTCGCATGTTTCGTTAAGTTTGCCTTTTTTACAAATGCCTCCCCGCACACCTTGCAACAATTTGTTGGTGGTTTCTTTGTATTTTGAGTGTCTTCTGCCTGATGGACCTTCATGTGTTTCCTCAGGTTGATTTTCATACTAAATTCCTCATTGCACACACTGCAGGTGTGGACCAAATTATCTGTGTGCTGCTTCATGTGGCGCTCTAACGAGGTCATCTGCCAGAAGGCGCTGGGGCACTCTTTACATCTGAAAGGTTTCTCTGGAGCGTGCACCTTTAAGTGAGACACCAGGCTACTTTTCTGAGTGAACTTTTTACCACATTCAGCACAGCTGAAAGGTTTTTCTCCGGTGTGCAGACGAGCGTGCTGCTCCTGCGCCATGATGGAGGTGAAGGTTTTCCCGCAGAAGGAGCACTTTTTGCTGTTTTCTTGGTGAGCCTGCAGGTGAGCCGCCAGGCTTTCAGCAGAGTCTAAAACCTCCCCACAGAAGCCACAGCGGCTGTCCGGGTTGCTGAAACAGACCTTTAGGACGTGTTGGAGCAGGAAGCCTTTCCCAGGTGAAAGGCGTCCACACGTGAAGCAGCTGTAGCTCTGATCTGGCTTTGAGCGCTTCCGTTTCTTCACAACTTCTAAAGACCCAAGAGCCAGCAGGTCTCTCTTCTTCTTTCCTAAAGATCCGACAGGTCGTCCTCTCTTTTTTTTCTCACCAGATCCAACTGGGCGACCTCTCTTCTTTGTTTTCCTAGATTTGGGAGTCTGACTGTGCTCGCTCCAGTCTTTATCTGAATCGTCTCTACTGCCTTCGGAGGGAGGTGGGTCGGAGGACAGCGAGGGGGAGGCCGGTGTTTGTGTGCAGGAAGCATCGCCAACGTCCTTTTCAGAGTGGGACTGATTCAGGTCTGCAGGCTGGACGTTTGAGTCGTTCTGAGCAAAACTCTGGAGCGATTCTGAAAACATAAAAATAAATGCTATTAGTATAAAAAAACAACAAAAAAAAAAAAACAAGGCTGCAAAAAATACTTTCCAATAAATTCAAGTTTCACATATTCAGAACACACCATTTATAATGTTTGGTTAAAAATGACAGAAAAGTAAAAAGAGAGTCTCTGATGTTCTCCAGGTGATTGAATTTAATTCAAAATTTCTATACAGCTTTAGATTCCAGGTAATGATGTCGCTCCGATTTATCCTTTGAGACTAGACAACTGCAGACAAAATGATCATTTTTCTTCTAATTTTAGTTGTTTTTGAACATTGCACACATAACACAACACATGTAAAAGCAGGCAAGGCCACTCCTCCTGCACACACGAGTTGGACTAGCAAGGTACCTCACGAGCTATAGTTTGAAACAGTATGGCTCAGCCCCTTGCCTCCAAAACAAACCTTCCTCCCTTCGCTCTGTCCTCTAGTGAAACATGCAAAGAGAACTCCACCTCAAATGACTGCTCTCCAGCAAAGAAGCTTGCTTCGCTATCAGGAACTATTGCATCAGAGCGGAGTGTGTATGTGTGTTTGTAGTTCAGTTTGGGCGGGTGTGTGTGTGCATGCATGTTTGTTAGCGGCTTGGTTCTCCGAGTGACTGACCGAGAGCCTCTGAGGTGAGAAGCCAAGCAACGCCGCCTAGTGGTGCATTTTTCAAACAGGAAATTTGGGTGGAGTAAGAATATGGTTGGGGGGGGGGGGGGGGGGGCTCCGACATTGGTGCATGAAGTAAGAATGACATCATGTGGTCAAATTTGGGTACTGCAGTCCATGTATCAAAACAAACAAGTCTGCTCTGAGCAACAGTTGTCAGTTATGAATCAGTGCCAGAAGATCCTACAGGGGTGTCAAACATGCGGCCCGCAGGCCGGATTCGGCCCGCAAGCGGGTTAAATCCGGCCCGCGAGATGGTTGTGTAAACTTTATTTTCATACTTTACAATGTAGAGTGAAAATAAACTTATCATTGTGAGCAAGTTTTCTCTGTAATGAGTATAAATAAAACAAAGCTGCGCTCAAGGCTCACACAAGAACTTGAATCACATCCTGAAGTTGGCCGCCACTCAGGATGTGACTTCTGATGTTGATGTGCTGGTGAAAGCTAAAAGATGTAAAGTAAAATGAGTCAAATATACTTTAAGTGCTGCATGAAACTGATCTAGCCATGTGATCTGTAAGCTCTGAATCACCAAGGAATGTTTTTTTAATTTATTGATTTTTTTGTTTTTTTCAAATTTTCAAGTACACTTCAGGTGTTGTACTTGTACTATTTTTGATACACTGTCCTCAGGCTCCAGCTTTGTTTTATGTTGATTGTATTAAAACAAAGAAAACAATCTGAAGTTTTTTTTTATTTACCGGTCCGGCCCACTTGGGACTAGATTTCCCTCAACGTGGCCCCTGAGCTAAAATGAGTTTGACACCCCTGTTCTAGAAGATGAGCGAAGAGTCAAACACAGCAAGTTGATTAGTAGATAAAAACATTTCACTGTAATATGGAACTGTTGGTAATTTCAAAAAGTAGCTTGAGATGTTTTTGGAGTTAGCTAAGGCTGTTAGCTAAACGTTAGCTTCTGGTCCTCTTCATCTGATTATAGAATAAAACAAAAAGGCCACCATGGCTTGTTGATAACTGAGTCAGAGGACTTCAAGTGCATTACACACAGTGGTGGTGATGAGCAACATGTAGCTACAGCAGCCCTGGGGCACACTGACAGAGCCGAGGTACAAGAAATCATTTTTGGACCGGTCCTTTTGGTTTCCAGTCTGTCCACAACACCGCAGCTCTTCACTGTCCGGTGTCGAATTACAAATGGCAGCGCAGCAGTGAGCGTTGGTGCAGACTTGGCGACCTTGTGAGCTCACATGTGATTGGCTCTGCAACCAGGAAGTATGGAGGCAGGACAGAGTGTGAACAAAGACTAAATCCCTCTTTGGCCTTTTTAAAAAGGAGAAAAACTGACGACCACCCAGTCGGATAACTTCTCATTTCAATTGAGTGTGGAATAATGCGGCTTGGAGTCCATACTGCTTCCCAGAAATCACTGAGTCCAATCAGAGCATTCACACCTGCAACAGTGCAGTGCGGTTCCGGAGCTCCGGAAAGTTTCCGCGTGGAAGCCGTACGGAAACCAGACTGCATCTTTTGTGGTCCCGTTTCCGTACGGCTTCAGTAAAGACCAAAAAGCATCGAGTCAGCATTCACAGGCTGAGGTGCAGATCCAGATAGTTTCTGCATGGAGTCCACCTTTTCCAGCCTTTCGGATTCCAGACCACATCTGTTTGGAACTCGGTATAAACAAGCCGTTAAATCTAGACCTTTTTCTGTGTCAACACACCTGATTTTAATCAGTAGGTAAATAACATTCAATTCAGTTTTAACTTAAATTCAGTATTTTTATGTAGCGCCAAATCGCGACAAGAGTTGTCTTCAGGCCCTTCACAAAATAATAATTTCAATTGAGTTCAGCTCATTATGCTAATTAGTTAAGTGTCATACAGATTATTTGTGCTGCCACTGACCTCACCTTTACCTTACAGTCCATATACAGATAACTTTAGGTCTTCTCTACTGAGTAAAGATTTTCCATACTGAAGACTGGATGTAAGCTGCGTTTACTGACAGGGGCAAAATGGATCTGTTCAATTCTGGTTACCACCCAACTGATCGGTGCATCACCAGAGCTTTTGGACACTTTGTTACCAACGACCTGTCACAACACAAGTTGACGCAGAAATGAAAAAAAATCAGAAGAGTTTTCCCCAAAACTTCCAGGTCTTACCATGATGGGACTGCAGTGGAGGGACAAGACTTTCTTTGGAGCCGTTCCGATCATGCTCATGAGTCCCTTTGTGCTTAATGAAGAGTATCTCATGGGTAAAGGATTCCCCGCAGACTTTGCAGGAGCATGACGACGATTCCTTCACCAACATCTCATTGCCAACCATCTCTGTTTGATGGACCTTCATGTGTTTCCTCAGGATGATCTTCTTACTAAACTCTTTATTACACACGCTGCAGGTGTGGACGACCTTGTGTGTGTGCAGTCCTGTGTGGCGCTCTAATGAGCTCCTGTGACAGAAGGCACGAGGGCACTCTTTACATCTGAAAGGTTTCTCTGAAGCGTGCACCTGTAGGTGAGACGTCAGGTTGCCTTTCTGACTGAACTTTTTACCACATTCAGCACAGCTAAACGGTTTTTCTCCGGTGTGCAGACGAGCGTGCTGCTCCTGCGCCATGATGGAGGTGAAGATTTTCCCGCAGAAGGAGCACTTTTTGCTGTTTTCTTGGTGAGCCTGCAGGTGAGCCGCCAGGCTTTCAGCAGAGTCTAAAACCTCCCCACAGAAGCCACAGCGGCTGTCCGGGTTGCTGAAACAGACCTTTAGGACGTGTTGGAGCAGGAAGCCTTTCCCAGGAGAAAGGCGTCCACACGTGTAGCAGCTGTAGCTCTGATCTGGCTTTGAGCGCTTCCGTTTCTTCACAACTTCTAAAGATCCGAGCGCCAGCAGGTCTCTCTTCTTCTTTCCTAAAGATCCGAAAGGTCGTCCTCTCTTTTTTTTCTCACCAGATCCAACTGGACGACCTCTCTTCTTTGTTTTCCTAGATTTGGGAGTCTGACTGTGCTCGCTCCAGTCTTTATCTGAATCATCTCTACTGCCTTCGGAGGGAGGTGGGTCGGAGGACAGCGAGGGGGAGGCCGGTGCTTGTGTGCAGGAAGCATCGCCAACGTCCTTTTCAGAGTGGGACTGATTCAGGTCTGCAGGCTGGACGTTTGAGTCGTTCTGAGCAAAACTCTGGAGCGATTCTGAAAACATAAAAATAAACGCTATTAGTATTAAAAAAAAAACAAGGCTGCAAAAACTACTTTCCAATAAATTCAAGTTTCACATATTCAGAACACACCATTTGTAATTTTTGGTTAAAAATGACAGAAAAGTAAAAAAAAGAGTCTGATGTTCTCTAAACCAGTGGTTCCCAACCTTTTCCCCAAGGGACCCCGTTTTTTACCAGTAAAATTTTTGACGACCCCCTCCCATTCTCTCTTCCAGTACAAACAGGATTAATAAATGATAAAAGTGTTCAAGCACATTTTAATATGCTTTGACTCAATAGATAACAGTAATAGTAGGCTCCAGTACAGAACAACGTCATTAACAAAACCAAACAGAGCATAATGTGCTTGACAGTTTGTATTACTTTTCTGAACACACTGTTTCTTGTAAATACTGATAAATCAATCATTCCTTTCAATAAACGTTTGACACATAAAAAATACACCGAGCAAAATGTACTTAAATGTGTATATTACTGTTTATACTAGATTATTTACCGTAAACGCTGTGATTAATCAACCAGTCCTATCTTTAATGAACTTTTGACACTTGAAAATAAAACTGTGAGCTGAGCAAAAGTGTGTTACTTTTTCTGTACTAATTATTTCCTGTCTTAATATCAGTAAACTTTTCACTCATGAAAAAAATGTGAGCAAAATGTAGGCTATAAACAAGTAATAAATGAAGTTTTAACCCCTTAAAGTGGAGAGGTCCGGGCGACCCACTGAGAGGCTTTGGCGCCCCCTTGTGGGGGTCGGGACCCCCAGGTTAAGAACCACTGCTCTAGGTGATTGAATTTAATTCACAATTTCTATACAGCTTTAGATTCCAGGTAATGATGTCGCTCTGAATTATCCTTTGAGACTAGACAACTGCAGACAAAATGATAATTTTTCTTCTAATTTTAGTTGTTTTTGAAAATTGCACATATAACACAACACATGTAAAAGCAGGAAAGGCCACTCCTCCTGCACACATGAGTTGGACTAGCAAGGTACCTCACGAGCTATAGTTTGAAACAGTATGGCTCAGCCCCTTGCCTCCAAAACAAACCTTCCTCCCTTCGCTCTGTCCTCTAGTGAAACATGCAAAGAGAACTCCACCTCAAATGACTGCTCTCCAGCAAAGAAGCTTGCTTCGCTATCAGGAACTATTGCATCAGAGCGGAGTGTGTATGTGTGTTTGTGGTTCAGTTTGGGCGGGTGTGTGTGTGCATGCATGTTTGTTAGCGGCTTGGTTCTCCGAGTGACTGACCGAGAGCCTCTGAGGTGAGAAGCCAAGCAATGCCGCCTAGTGGTGCATTTTTCAAAATGATCCTAAAGGTCGACCTCTCTTCCTTTTCTCACCAGATCCAACTGGGCGACCTTTCTTCTTTCTTTTCCTAGATTTGGAAGCCTGGCACTGTTCGTCTTCATCTTCTCCACTGGTCGTAGAGACAGGTGGGAGGTAGGTCAGCTGAGTGGGGCAAGGCACTAATGGGAGGGAAATATCACTGAAGTCATTTTCAAAATAGAACAGATTTGGATCAGCTGCAGGCTGGAGGTTTGAGTCGTTCACATTCAGCTGAGACTCTGAAAATACAAATGTATCTTCTTAACAAATAATCCATGACAACGCCGATATAAATGAAACTTTTATAATCTCTGAATGTTTCAAAACTTTGATTTTGCAAAAGTTTCTAAAACCACAGTGCAAATCTGTCACTTTGGGCCATCTTGCAGCCCCTGATGGGGCGCTCCGCCTCCCTCCCAGTTGCTCAGTCAGAAACTGGCTGCACTCTTTATTTTAGGCAAATAATTCCCTGAGCCAAACACTGACAGAAAATAAATGAACAAAAGTTTATAAAGCTTGAATTGTTTATAGAGGGAGTAGAGACCCAGAGGCAGCACAAACTGATGCAAAAGGGGAGTTTTGTATAATATGTCACCTTTAATTAACAGTATTAGTCATTCATAAGCCCACGTTATTGTTGACTAGTTATCGTGACTTTTTATACAAAATAAAAATACTCTTTGTCCTTAATGCTAGTTAATCACCATTATATGCGGTATCCACTTCATGGTCTGTCACCTCTTCGCTCAAGCTGGCAGGGCTTTTATTTTGAAGGTGACCGGAATTGTGTCTGGATAGCTCGTTAGCTGCAGGTGATGGTGCTCCTGAAGGCGAAAAATCCGCTCTCTGCAACCTGACTTCGGGGTTTAGTAAAGTATCAAGCAGTCTCTTCTGGCGGCGGATTTCCCGCTCCGACCGCTGCAGTTTATCTTCATAATCCACCACAGTTTTCTTAAAAAGAGCTACAATCTCCCCCGCAGCCGCTGTTAGCCTTTCGGTGAGCAGAGCTCTCAGCGTCCAGATTTCCGCCGCTTTTTCTCCCGTTTCCATTTGCTGTAAAACATCTTGAGCCGTGGCGTTAATCCGCTCATAGACCGACAACCACAGCAGCTCAACGCCGCACATTACACCGGTTTCTGTTTGGGTCGGAATTAGAATTTGTAGGGATGTTAACACGCGTTCTTCCTTTCCTCCTAACGAGTGGAAACAGCGACACCTGCTGGACTGGAGAGATGTTTTGATTTGTTTATTTTTCTATTTTGCTGCTGAAAAATTGTTCTTATAACAGTGTAATTTGGTAGATGCTTAGCACTAGAATAAGAATAATTAAAATAACAATGATTGAAGTTCTGATTTAAAGCTAAGATGAATGGGTATTTATACTGATGTAACTTGTACAATAATGTGTGTTCACATCGGTTGTCCAGTAATCGGAAGGTTGCAGGTTCGATCCCGGCTCCGGACAGAGAATTCTGCTGTTGTGTCCTTGGGCAAGACACTTAACCCACCTTGCCTGCTGGTGGTGGTCGGAGGGACCGGTGGCGCCTGTGCTCGGCAGCCTCGCCTCTGTCAGTGCACCCCAGGGCAGCTGTGGCTACATCGTAGCTCATCACCATCAGTGTGTGAATGTGTGTGTGAATGGATGAATGATACACTGTAGTGTAAAGCGCTTTGGAGTCCTTACTCTGAGAGGCGCTATACAAGTGCGGGTCATTATCATTTATCATACATCAAACTTGGTTGCAAATCAGGAAAACGGTTGGTGTCTAAATTTAAATATGATCCAAATGACTTTCGTTTTATTTACTTTACCCGTTTGACATATTAAGCATTGTCTCAAGTTTTCTGAGGAACAAAAACTTTTTTTTGGTTTATATATTTGCAAAAATATGTGAGACGAACCCAGAGGTTCTGCTCTCTGATATCCTGGAGATCTCCTGCTGCAGGCCCCAAGTCCTGCAACCCGGTCACACACCACCAGAGGCCAGCAGAGAGTGTTGTGGAGCAGCTGCATCCAATAACTCAGCAGCTGCACCTGAAGCCTTTTTAAGCCTCCCAACTTCATCATTCAGGGAGACACAGCTACAGAGGAGACTCTGTGTTAAAACCGTGATCTCTCCTTGACTCTGTATCTAGTTCCTGTGATCGCCATTCGTAGGTTTTGGACTGCTGTCAGTGTCCTAGAGTTTTTGATATAGATATTTGTTGACTGGTAGTATCCCTGAGTTAATAGTTTCTATATAGTTAAGGATATAAATTGTGCTTTTTGCCTCCTGTTATTGTTTAATCTCCCAATCCTCAGTTTAGCTTGACTTTGTTTTGTTTTGGAGGATTTTTAGTTAAAGAGCAAGTCACTCCAAATCAACATTTTTTTTTTTGCTGATAAACTCTATAAATGAGTGTCTGATTGTGCTGTAGACACGTGTAGTCAATAATTCGGTACTTTAGTGCATCTTAGTTAAAATTTAAATATTCTGCCTAAAACTGTCCGTTGTCAGGCAAAAACTCTGCACTGCATTCGAATTTAAATCTGCCATCGCTATTGGCTAAGAGGTACACTATGATGTTAAATGGTACATTATGATGTCACAATGTTGTGAGTGTGTGTATTTTGGGCCATTCCCATCTGTACCGGGTCGGCCCGGGCTGGGTAGCGCAGGTTGTTAACATATCTGGGTGGCCTGGTATTTTTGCGGGCCAACCAAGGCTCATTCTCAGCCCTCTTCTCGAGGGGGTCTGCTTCAGGCCGACCAGGGCCAACACACCCACTGCTGACAGCAAATTCACACCTTCCATTAGAGCAAGCCTCTGATTGGTGGGTAGAATCAGCCCACATGGGCTTAAGACAAGGATGTGTGGAATTAACCGGGCCATGCTGGGGCCGACTGGGGCTACCCGGCCCGGGCCGACCCGGTACAGATGGGAATGGCCCATTTGTTAGCGGCTTTGCCCTTTCGGTCTGCTAGACAACAGCATTTGTTGCATTTTTCAAACAGGAAGTGGGAGTTGAGTAAGAATCTGGTAGGGGGTGACTTGCTCTTTAAAGAGATGCAGTTTGATGTTTGAAAAATGCAACAAATGTTGTTGCCTGGCAGACCGAGAGGGCGGAGCTGCTAACAAATACACACACACTGGCTCACGACAGCATTGTGACATCATAATGTACCAGTTTACATCATAGCATACCTCTTAGCCAATAGCGGTGGCAGATTTAAATTAAAATGCAGTGCAGAGTTTTTACCTGACAACGGCACAACACTGCCAGTTTTAGGCAGAATATTTAAATTTTAACTAAGATGCACTGAAGTGCCAAATTATTGACGACATGTGTCTGCAGCACGATTAGACACTCGTTTGTTTAGTTTATCAGCAAAAAAAGTTTATTTGGGGGTGACTTGCTCTTTAAGGAGATTTCTAGCTTCTGTTTTGTAGGTCGTTTTAGTGTTGTTAATGGTTTAGGGTTATTCTTTTTGTTTCTTTAGTGGTCGGTTTAGTTTAAAATATGTGTTTTCCGTTCTTGGACTCTTCTCTGGTTAACACCAGAGAGAGCGCTTTTAGTTGTTGTTGGTTTGCTGCTCCCTGTTTCAAGCAGAGGGAGTTTATTTAGTTTGTTTATTAAACACCTTTTACCCCACTTTTGTAAATAAACCTTTTGAAAAACTATTTCGTTAAACTCCTTCCATTCACTTATTTCCCATCACAAACGGACACCATCCATCACTGTTCATCCCTTTTTATTTTACATTATTTTATTTTACTCTGTGTTCTCCCCTCACCACTCCTAGATGCCAGAGGGAACATAACAATATGAAAAAAGTAAAATTTACAAAAGTGAGACACAATTATTTTTCTTTAAATACCCATAATAAAAACTGTCATTTAACTGGAAATTTACCTAAACAGACTTTTTACACATTTATTTAATGAAACTTTCTGAATAAAACAAACAAAAGACAAAACAATACTACAGAAAATTTACATTTTCTTTAAATCAGAGAAAAATAGACTTAGAGCAGTAACCATTCAGTCAAGAAGATAAATAAAATAAAGCAAGAAACGTGCAACATTTTTTATCATCAGTCCCGTCTGACATCACATCAGGAAAAGGTGAAAGTGTTAAAATCAAAAACATAAACACAACTAGTTATCACTCTGATATTTAAAAAGTATTCTTATATATAAACCATGAGACAGTTTAATAAAACTCGTTACAGTTGTCCTCGGTTGAGAACAAATTGTTTACTGCATGAGAGAAGAAAATAAAAGTAAAATAAAAGACTAAAAATATAAAATAAAATATTTTAAGGGTTTAGGTGAAAATATTTGGGGGTTAATAGAGTGCAGAATAACTATTTATAAAATACAAATAGTAGTATATCATGTAAACAAGCCTCAATATTAGATTATAATAAACAAGTGTTACAAAATATGCATTTAGTCCTCGGTGAACTTTTAAAGTGGTTTGTAAAATGTTGACCAAGATCAACAGTCAGGAGTGTATTAAGGAGTATTTTTTAACAAATATGAAAGTAATAATTTAGTAAGAGACAGTTTTTCTTTCATCCTTTGTGCATCTCTGTCCAGTCCTCCTTATTTTATGTCATCAGGAGTATTCTCCAAAGCAAGTTCAACATAGCTGAGTTTTCTTCCCTCAGTCTGGTTTGACAAACACAAATCTCCACAAGATTACAGGTACAACAGTGATTATGAGGTTAAATTGGTAATTTAAGCTTCCAACTTACACACAAAAAGCTGCATTTCCAACATTAGACACTTTTTCTTCTCTCTCTCTCTCTCTCTCTCAGTTTATATATAAATTGTCAAATTTTTATTTTATCATCATACTACTTTTAAGAGTAGCTTGTGAGTGGATTCAAGTTTCAAAATAAACTTTTCACATATCTGACGCTGAGAACCATGAATAGTTTTGATTAAATGCTTATTCACTTATGATCAAAATCAACAGGCTATATTATTTATAATTGCACTTAAAATATTTATCTGACTGAACCTGTTTTATGTTTATTTATTTGGCAGACGCTTTTATCTAAAGCGACTTACAATTTATAACCTATAGGGCATGTTGTGATCTGTGGGGGAAACCGGAGGAAACCCACGCATGCATGGGGAAAACACACAATTCCACAAAGGCCACAGGCGAGTTTTGAACCGGCGAACTTCGTGCTGTGCGACAACAGAGCTAACCACTGCGCCACCATGCAGGCCATGTTTTGTGGTTTATTAAAGAATCTGATTTGTTCTGAAGACGACGGCAGAGTTTCTACTTTTTTTTGACAATCTGATGTTTATTTTAAAATGTTTTAGGATCTGACAGTTTCAGTCTGATTTTTCTACCTGAAAATCAATAAGAAAAGAATTGTGTGTGTGTGTGTGTGTGTGTGTGTATGAGAGATATCTAAACCTCAGTCTTAATTTATTATAAACCTAGGTCAACATAAATTGGGTAAAAATAAATAGATGAAAGCATTCTGAAAACAAAATCCTGTGCATTTTTCAATGGAAGAGTAGGGATGCACCGATCAGGTTTTTTGCTGCCGATCACCGATACCGATATCAAAGAATGCTGATCACCGATACCGATCACGTGGATTGGCCAGAAATTTTCTACAACATTATAATGAGTGCTACAAACTACATAATCTGGGAATAAAGGAAATGCAACCTAATCTAAAATGGTCTGGCTGATCGGTCTGCTTTGATCTCTTTGGAAAACTCCGATCAAAACCGATAGGGGCGCTATCGGCCGATTGGGATCAAATGCCGATCCATCGGTGCATCCCTATGGAAGAGGTTGTTCTTTTCCTCAAACTCTGAGATCAGAGTCGACCTTCATCTTGAAGGGGATGGCAATCAAGTGGATTTAGGGTTTTAAATAGTTTTCTACAGACTCTGATGGATCAAACACGACGGGGAATATGTGTCTTTCCGTGATGACTCTAAATTAAGCTGGAAGCAATATTTCCACGAATTTCCAGGATTAAATGCCTTCTGCGGACATCCCAACAACCCAGAAGGAGGTGATGTGAGACTTGTCGAGTCCACCTTCCTCAGTGTGCAGGTCACAGCTGGATGAAGTCAGGAAGAATGTCCCCTTGTTGCTTTGGGACGGACATCACAGCCGAGTCTTTGGCAGCCTGCTCTTCTGTGTGGATCTTCATGTGCGAGTACAGCGAGCGCTTCTCCTGATAGCTCTTCTCACACAAATGGCAGCTGAAGGGTTTCTCCCCAGTGTGTGTCCGCATGTGTCTCTTTAGGTCAGTGTTCTGGACAAAGCCCTTGCTGCAGAGCTGGCACATGAACGTTTTGTCTTTCTTGTGGAACCTCTCGTGTCTCTCCAGTGAGATCTTCTGGCAGAACCTTTTCCCGCAGAGACTGCAGATGAACGGCTTCTCGCCCGTGTGGATCCTCTTGTGAGAGTCCAGGTTGCCGATCTGCCTGAAGCTCTTGTTGCAGACCCTGCAGGTGAACGGCTTCTCCCCCGTGTGGATCCTCTTGTGCACATCCAGATGTTGGTTCATGGTGAACTTCTTACCGCAGACATCACAGGGGTAAATTCTGGGCTTTCCCCCCACGTGGCTCTTAATGTGTCTTTTTAGAACACTGTTTTCAATAAAAGTCTTTCCACAGAACTCGCAGATGTATGGTCTCTCTCCAGAGTGCATCTTCATATGTTTCTCCAAAGAGCCCTTCCTTGAGAAATCCTTACCACAGTCTTTGCATCTGAAGGGTTTCTGTCCCGTGTGTCTCCTCATGTGCGTGTCCATGTCCTTGAACTTGATGCCACAGATTTCACATACTCTATTAGTTTCTCTGTGACTCTGGATGTGAAGTTGAACGCTCTCCGCAGACTCGGATTGCTCACCACAAACACCACAACGAAAGTCAGAATCCTTGAAATGTGTCTCCGTGTGGCGCAATAAGTTACCTTTGCTGTGAAAAGAATTCCTGCAGACCTTGCAGGAGTGAGGAGGAGTCGGACTCTGTTTGCTCCCTTCGATTAACTGCTTGTCGGATTTGGGAATCTCGATATGCTGCTCCAGTTCAGGACTTGTTGGAAAGTCTTTCCCACAGTCCTTGCAGCTGAAAGGCACCGCTTTGTTGTGGTCGCTTTTGCAATGCTCCAGTGAGTTGGAGTTACTGAGCTCTTCGGAGCAAGCGGTGCATGTTAATGCATTTTCTGCTGTTTGGGACTTTAGGAGGGTCAGCATGTTAGCCTTTTTGCTGAAGCTCTTACCACAGAGGTGACAGTTAAAGAGTTTCTCACCTGCGTGGAGCTTCAAGTGTGTTTCTTGAGCTCGGATTGAGTGGAACTTCTTACCACAGACATGGCAGGTCTTGCTTCTGCTGCTGTGAGTCTGCAGGTGTAGTGTCAGATTATCACTGGAGTCCAAATGTTTGCCGCACACACCACACCGGCACTCATTCTCCTTTGCGTGATCCTCTACATGTTTTATTAGAACAACTTCACTGTCAAAGGACTTTCCACACACCCTGCAGCCATGAGATTGTTCCTCAGCGACATTATCCTCATCTTCTTCCTCCTCCTCCTCTTCTGTTGCATCATCTGGAGAGGCTGCTGGTTGGTTCAGTTTGGACTTTGACCTTGAAGAGTTACCAGGAAGGAGCTTCTTCAATCTCAACTCTAAAGAGAAAACACACAACACATTTATTTAATGTTTTAAATTTAACCTGTAGTGTTTTGAATTTCTTTTATTTCACATGACTTATTTTCAGCGAGAAATGCCCATTAGAAGTCAAATGTAAAGATGCATGGATGCTGAAAATTTTATGATCTGCCTATACCAGTTTTGCCCAATTCCAATTAATCAAACTGATCTGATTGTTAAAAGCAAAGTTTTAAAAATGTATGATGACACAGAAAATTATGATTTGATATTTTAACCCTTTGATGCATAATGGTCACTACAGTGGACAGGTACTCAAAATTGTTATTTATTTTTGCTATTAAGCACAGCTGTTGAAGACTTTATTGCATTTGAGCCCCTCCATTTGGACTTCAGTAAGCCAAGCCACCATATTTCATGCTCAGAATGCACGCTGTCCACTGAGGTGGACATGTAATAATTTATTTGTAAATTATAAAATTTTACAAAAAATATTTGTTGAAATTTGTTTCATTCACACCTAAAGACGAATGAAAAAAATTGTTTAAAAAAATCATGGTTGAAGATTTCATAATTCATGCATCAGAGGGTTAAAATTTCCTTGTGAAAAATCAACCCTTGCCAGTTTGAAACGTGGCTGAACTTGTGAGTTTATGGGCTGGTGGTCAAATGTTTACTTCCGCTTGATGATGCATTCACAGACCAAGAAAAAAACAGATTTTTTTTATTTCACACTGGCCAATTACAGATTAAAATAATTGTGCTGAACAGTAGCCACCTCTAATCACCAGCAGATGTTTTAGTGCAACAAGCATTTGTGCAACTGTCAAGGTTAATCTAAAAAAAAGTCGCAATAAAGTCGAAACTCCAGAAAAGGAGAGTAAATTACTCAAGTTGAATTTTGTTCCTAAAATTGCTGCTGAATGTGTGAAGCTGCACACTGACTTCTCCGGTTCATTCCACGATCCGCTGTCTGAGGCTCAAGATGCTTCAGCGACCCTCTTTCGACCGATCTGCTTGCTTCAAACGCGTTGAAGATGAGCTCCACGGCCGCGGTGATTCTCTTCATCACCAGCATCCGCAGCTCCTCCAGCTCTGCTTGGCTGCGCTCCTGCAGCAGCCTGAAAATCTCCCGAGCAGCTTCTGCTAACTCTTTTTCGATTGAGGTCTTTAACCTTTTCTTTGCGGACCGTTTTTTGGACATTTTGATGGCTCCCGCGAGACAAGAGGAAAAATGTAAACAAAACGAGTGAACTTCCGGGATCCCAAGCGTAGGAATCAGACGTTTCCGACGTACGCACTGACGTCACGCACATGCACCGTCATGTGTTTCGGCTTCAAGTCTCCTGGTCGCTCATATCGAAACAAGTTAAAAATTAGCAAAAGACGCCTCGTTTAACACATCCCAGGTGAAACCTGACGAGTTTTTTTGATAGTTTAGCGCTTTTACCTTCGAGTTTTAGTTTTCCTTCCGTATATTTTTGAATAAAATACGCACTATAAACAAAGTGTTACTCCGCGTAAGGACCTAAATAGATTTGCCTGCTTAACGCTAATCAACTGGTTTTCTGGGTAGTATAACTAAAACCGTGCCGTAAATTGTTATGGTAATATTGAGGGATAAGGTCTGGTAAATTCGGCATATGTTAAATCTACAGTAAAGCGGTAGTAATGTGGCTAAGCTGCGGGCTGTACACTACCATAATAAACGTTTCATTTTTTACATAAATTTTGCTTCAAACATTTTCAAAGTCACTAAACATGATCAGCCAAGTTCTGAAATGTGAAATTGTATTGGTGGATGAGATTAAGCATTTGGCCTAAAGACGGTTTCTGTTTTGTTTTTTAGGTCTGAAAACATCCAACTGGGAGTAGAAATCTGCCACATTAGAGAAGTTGTGCAGGTGAGAAGAAAAAAAATGGGTTTACCAAAGAGGTGGCTGGATTATTGCCCTGTTGGACAGAGGATACCAGGAACCAGATTTATTGCATTCAAAGTGCCTTTAAAACCATCAGTTACCTTTCAGGGTCCCAAGTCCCACTCTTTTGACTTGTGGGATTTGTTGGATTCTGTGGAACGTCAGAACCAGGAGCTGGGTCTGATCATTGATCTTACCTTCACCACCAAGTACTACAAATTGTCAGATGTCCCACAGTCCTGTTGTTACATCAAGATCTTAATCGAGGGCCACAGAGTTCCATCTGACGCTGCCATCCTGAGCTTCAAACGAGCTGTGAGGCAATTCTTGAAGGAGAATGAAAACAACGACAAATTAATTGGAGTCCACTGTACCCACGGCCTGAACCGCACAGGGTACCTGGTCTGCAGATATCTGATAGACGTAGATGGACTCCGTCCTGCAGCTGCTCTGGAGCTCTTTAACTCCTACAGAGGCCATTGCATTGAGAGGAAAAACTACCTGGATGACCTGCTGAGAGGCACTAAGAGAAGCAACACTGACATAGATAAGCCAGAGACGAGTGCACGTAGAGGGCTTGCAATGCAGAAATTATCACAGGGAGCAAAATCAGAAGGGCAACGACCAGAGACTGTCACTGCAGTACAGACGAGTCAGTGTTCTGAGAATAACTCAGCGAAGAATAAACAAACTAATGAGAAACAATCATCTAAAAGACGCAAACGCAGACCCAAGCGACCCTCAAAGGTGGATCAAAAGTCCTGTGATCGATCTGGAATGGATGGACTTCCATCCTCACCTCGACTCTTAAGCATGATGGAGCAGGAATAAACAAACCACGGTATCAAAGTTCTTCATTTGATCGGACAGAATTCAGTGAGCAGAAACAGCATCATTTTTGGGTTATTGCCATTTTTGAAGATAAAAAATCTCCCCTTTTGAGTCATAAACAAGAAAATGAGTGATGTAACCAAATCCGTGAAAGCAGATTTATTTAGCTCAACCATTTGAAACGTTTTTTTTAGCAAACTGGAAACTATAGATGAATTATCAGCCTCTAACACTCTTATTTTGGTAGCATTGCTTGAAATTGTGGCCATGATAACCAATGGGAACGATTGTTAAAAAGGTTTTTATAAAATGTCATTGAATACATACAACTGCAGTCAGTTTGCAAATTAAATAAATGCTTTGTGGTTTTACTTTAATTAATTTAGCAATTTAATAAAGTTTGTCAAACGTTTTTTGCCCTAGATTATTTGACTTTTTTCTTTTTAACCGTGTCCTGTCTGGCTGTGAAGCAAACAGAATTGATGTCTGAATGCTGGTAACAAGCCTTACAGATTTACTCTCAGGTGGAGCATCAAAGCTTCTGCTTTTAATGTCACGCCTGATACTTAAAACTTTATTGTTATTGTTTTTGAATGCTTTGTAATTCCGACCAGACACGGAGTCGGAGGTGAAAGAGAAAGGAAAAGACAAAAGGTGGGGAGAGAGGGGGGAAGGGGGTGGGGGGAGTTCCACAAAAATAAACAATAATGAACAAGTCTGCTTCTAGACCTGCAGAAAAAGACAAAAAAAAAGCAAAAGAACAAACAAAAAAAGGGACACAACAACAATACAAGATCAAGCTATCACTGCGTCAACTTGAAGAAATATATAATCAACATTGTTTAACTGAAGAATCACAATAATAAATCACAGTGCATTAAGTGCCCACCATAGTCTTAAGACAAGTGTTTAACGTGCCCAAGCCCATACTTATGAGAGCACCATGTGAACACCTGTGTGTACACGCGCTTGCTTATGTAAGGTTTCTCTATAGGAGCGTCCAACAGAGTGTGAGGGACCACAGATCTGCCCCCCAAAGATGCGTAGGAGACGGGTGGAGCTCCAAGTCCCAGAGATCCAGACGCTAGATTATTTGACTTTGATTAAAGCCAACTGGCTCCTCCACCTAATTGTGGAACATGTGATCACCTGCTTTTAACTAACAATCTGGTTAAGGACCATTTTGCTTTAAGTTAGGGTAAATTATGTGTATATATATTTTCTAGTGAAAAAAATCCAGTAATGTAACATTCTGGGGTATGAAGATATTTAAGCTCAGTCTTTGTTGCAGCTGAGAAGAAAGAAGATGAAAGGGAATTAAATGAGTTTTGGTGAGAATGATAAAAATTTTAGATATTTTTTGTCGAGATCACAAGCCATTTTCCTCCTCAGCTGACCGCCTCTAGAGCCATTATTAAAATACGAACGTTATCAAGACAATTCAAACTTTATTTAAACATTGTCATAAACACCATAACACACACAGAAATGTGTGTTTTCAGTGAAAAGAGCGAAATGCTAAATGGATACTTTCTATCATCTAAGAGAACTGAATAAATGAAAAAAAGGTCCGTCTCAAAAAGTGATTCTGGAGTCGTTTCTTATGAGATCAGAGCGATGAAACAATGTCTGACTGATCCTCGTGGCTCCGGAAGCTTCTCTGGGTCTCTGCTGAATTCTGAGGATTCTCTAGTTTGATGTAGTTGGAACCTGTGAATCTGAACATGTCTGATTAACAAAAAAATAAAAAATAAATAAAAAAAAAAGCTAAGCACTTCACTGAGGAAACTAAAGTGGTAATAAAACAAAACAAACAAACCACTGGGAAGATCTAGAAGGTTCTGATTAAACCAATACTTTGGAAAAACTCGCCTAAAAAGCTTCTCAGTTAATCCCTCTTCATTTTCTTGGTTCCTCCTGAATTATCCTGGTCCTGTTTATTCTTTCTGGGCCGACCTCTGGGCCTCTTCGCCAAAGGCTTGCTGGAGTCATCTGCTTTTTCAATTTTCTTGTTTTTGTTGTGTTCGGATGGCGACGGAACTCCCTTCTTTCCGCTCTGCGTCTTAGCCAGACCTCGCTTTTTCGCCTTTCTTGTGTGTGTCTGTCGATGAGGCTTCGAACCACCATCGCACAACTGTTCCCCACACAGAGCCGGATCTAGCTTCTTCCTCTTTCTTGTGTGTGTCAGGAGGTGAAGCTTCAGACCACCATCTGCCCCAAACCGTTCCCCACACAGACCACAGACCTGCTCCGCATCGCGAATGTGAACGGTGGCGTGTCTAAACAAAACTCTACGATGCTTAAAAGTACGGCTGCAAGCCTGGCAGCTGAACCCCTCTTTTGGTCTGCAAAACCACTCTGAATTTTCTCGAGGGGGTCTGACTTCAGCATAGTCTTTGCTGTAGTCCTCACTGTCTTCGGTGTCAGAAGACAACACTTGTGCGACATCCTGACCTGGATCAGGTTCTTGTTCTTCTGGTAGCTGAAAGTCATCACGTGGCGCTGTAGCGTGCTTGGAATTGTATGTGAACTCAATGATCTCAACATCGTGCAGGTCTTGGAGCTGCTCATCTTGTGGTTTCTCTTCAGTGACTGAAGGCTCGAGAACCACGCCCTGGATCAGGTTCTGGTGGGTATCGGACATGAGTTCTTTACCGAATGGCATTTGCTGTGTGAAAACATCTGTAGGGAAACACAAAAATAACTGGATGAGTTCTGGTTGCAGATTGAACTTACTCCAGTGATGAAGCAAAATAACAGGTCATTTTCTCACAAACTGAAGTTTGCAGCTCAATGTTAACTGTAATGCTTTAATAATAAAATATTTTCTTCTGCTTTTTTCAACATAATATGTAAAAATCTGTAACATCTACAATTTTTTTTTTCAAACAGAAAAAAATTAGAATTTATTGATTTTATTTATTTTAAATATGATCATGTTTTGATTCTGGGTGATTTTCATATTCATGTCTTTTCTAACGAGCCTTTGGTGAAAGACTTTAAAATCATCTGTCCCCACAAGAACGTGGGCACACACTGGACATGGCGTCTGGATGATCTGTTTCTAATTGAATTCAGATTGATCACCTGGAAAAGTGGGTGGGCATTACTGGGTTTGGAAGAGTTTTTGTGTGAGAATAGATGTGTTTCTGCAAACGCCACCCTGGATTTTGGAGTGCTGCAGAGGTCTATTCTTGGCCCTCTTCTGTTCTCTGTATTTGCTGTCATTGGGTATGTTGTTCCATAAACACAAGATCAATTCTCACTTATATGTAGATGACTGCCAGGTCTAGGCTGTGGAATGCTCTGCTGCTGACCTTTAGAACGGCTCCCTCAGTTGGTGTTTAAACAGGTTTAGGACACATTTTTACACACTAACTTTTTATGCACAATGCACAGTATACAGTGTTGCCATTTCGTGGTTTATTGTTTTTAGGAGTACTGTTTGTAGATCTTAGTTACCACTCTTAAATGCTGTTATATCATTTGCACACGTTTATGTGTGCAGTGTTCAGCTCTTTGTGTATCCTTTGGGTCGTTAAAAGTGTTATACCAATTAAGCTAATGATGAATTGAACCATTAAGAAAAATGTGGAGTTTAGGTTGGCAGTCATTATTTTATGCTTCAATCTTAAGGGTCAGCAGGGGGCGCCATTGAGTAGAAGAAGCGTAAAGAAATAACCAGTTATTTACCACAACTAAAAAGCTTCAGTGCTCCTGAATATTCGTCTGACCATCACTGCTGCAGAGTGAAACTACCCCGACTCCCATGCGTCGCTCACCTCTAGTATTTCCGTTCAGCGAACAGAGTAGCGCGTGCTGGCGGGAGATAACCTCTCGATTCAGAGCCGCCTCCTCCTCGTATTTCACGATAGTTTTTTCAAAAGCAGCCATAACTTCTTCTATCGCTACGTTTAGTCGCTGACTGACGAAACTGTGTAGCTTCTGGGATAAAGACATAACTACGTACGATTTGGAATCAGAGTATTAAAATGCAAAAGCCGCTCAAAACAAGCACAAAACAGCCTAAGCTAACACCTTACAAGGCTAGTTCCGGTTTGCATTTGCACGTAAACAAGACTTCTGGTACTTCCCTGAGCCAGTTACTGCCCCCTTCTGGTTTCATCTGGCTACTGTAGTCTATATAACCGCGTCTTCATGTTCTTAACTCATCCTCATGTTCTCCACAAACATTTAAACAATACGTTTTTGTTCCGTTTCCTGAGTTTAAAAATATCCTTTATGGACATAATTTTAATAAAAACATATCTATGCATCTATTTATTTTAAATCTCACTGGAATTTTTCACTTTTTTCCATAGTTCCTCATGTGGTATTGCCATTTTCTCTACTGCCTCTGGTCCTTATATTCTAACATTCCGGGTTTTATTTGTCTATTCCCAGCCATTGCTCTGTGCACCAGTACCCACATAGACAATATTGCTATTTCTACCTCTAACCTATATTAGAAAATTTTGAAATAAAGAAATTCAAAGTTATAAACTGAATTTGAAATATTTGCCCTACATTCAATATTATCGTCCAATATTTTAATAATGTGTGAAAAAGAGCTCCATTTACAGATGCAACAATAATAGTTTTTTTTATTATCAAATCAACATATTTCTTTTTCTATACAACGTAAAAAAACTATTTTTTTTCTAAGACTCACATTTGCACAAATCTCAGTTGTAATGACAGTAAAGTACATGGTTGCAAATGTGAATCTAGCTCCAAGTTCCTGTCTGGTCTTGGTCTTTTAAAGTTCTTTCTATATGTCAGTTCATTTTCCAGTTTGATTGTGATGAATCAACAAGGACTGATGAGCAGTTTCTTCACCTAAAGTATCTGCGACTGCTGTACAGTCATGTTTGCTAAGATTGATATGATCTTTAATAGCATTTATATTCGATTACAATTTTACATCAAAGAACAGTGGCATAATTTTATTCATTTGAAAATTGATTGATTTGCATCACATATTTACAATAAAACTAACTTGATCAAACTGGCGAGTGTGTAAACATGTTGATAAAAGCAACTTAAACTTAATGTTTTAGCTAATTACAATCTTTGTTAGAAGCAGAAGCAAAACTTTTAGAATACTAGTTCCAAATTTCTACAAAAACCTGCACAGCACAGGAACCATCATTCTAATGCTGCATAAAAATGAATGATCAATCACTTTCAGGTAATTTAGGCTCATTTATTAACCTGTACGGCTCACCGGTACTGGAGACTTACCAACAATATGGAAACAACTTGCAAGTCTGCAAAATGCATTCACAATCAACTTTGGTTGTACATTTTCTTACTAATGAAATATGCTGGCATCATTTGAACGTTATATGCAATATTAACTAAACTAATTTTTTTAAGTAAGAATTTAGTCCAGATGCAAAAAAAAAAAGAAAAAAAAAAGAATTAAACTAATGTAAAGTCAAACAAAAAATCCCAATATGTTACCATGTCTTCAATGTTCTTTTATAAAATGTAAAACAAGATAGTTACAAGATTCAAATATAAAAAAACATCTTGAATCAATAATGTTTCAAACCGATTTGTCCAACACACTGGTGATATTTCACATCCGTGTACCAAGCAAAGCATTTGCCACACAGCTGTGCTGATTTTCTACAGCGTAGAGGATGATATGTGACTGAAATGTTACTTTGTGTGCATATTTTTCTCAACATACTGGAAAATTTAATGGCTTCTCTCCTGTGTGTGTTAGTGGACCTGCAACACGGAATGGTATGGGAATTCCCATTCACATCTGGAACTGTTTGGTGTGTTTCTTCATGTCGCTCTTCATGAGAGGAATTTGGGCAACTGTTTCACGTTATTCGTTGCACCTGTGAGGTTTCAAGTTTTTCTCACAGCCCATCTCATCATCAAAGGCACCAGGGTAATTTGTGAAGACCAGTTTTCTTTCCGAAAGTCACAGTCATCACCATCGTCACTGTCGGGCCGCAGAGGCTCTGGAATGTTATCGTCGGAACCACTCAGCTGGTGTTCACAAGAATCTCTTTCAGAGTTAAATGAGATTGAAGATTCTTGGTCTCTTTCCAGAAAACACACTCTCAGTTTTTATGTAGACACCTGTAAAAGCATGGCTCTGGTCCTCTTAACGAAACCTCTGCTCTGCTCAGTCTCCACAAGAACAAGACTTGATTCAAATTTGCTGATCTCAGCTTCCTGCTCCTCTTTCATCTGTGGCACCTCAGGGTTTTCCTATTCTTCTGTCACTGTGAGTTTGTGTTGCCACACACCTGAACTCTTGGAACCTCTACATTTGCCCATTTGTGAAATTGGTCATCCTGCTTTACAGAAGTTAAGTCCATGTCCGGTTCTCTTGTCTCATTACGACAGTTAAAAAAAAAAGATTGGCGCGTCAGTTAATTCCAAAAATCACTGTCATCAGTCTCAGAAGACTCACATTCTTCAACCTTTATTATTAAAACTGAATCTTTTCCTTCTGGTTCTTCTAAGTCCTCCATAAACATCGGTTTGTCTTCTGCGTTCTCTTCAGAGTGGTCATAATCCATCTGTGAGAACTGATTAATACACCGATGGAGACCGAGCTCATTCTGGCTGCTGAATCCTTTTTGACAAACACTGCAGCGGTGCATGCCCTCCTCCTCCTGGATGTCCTCATACGTGTGGACTTCCATCTGTTGCATGCTTTTAAGGTCTTTTCTACCAACCGGGCAGCAAAACTGTGTTTGGCCAGCGTGGCTCGTCGTGTGTTGATTTAACGTGTTCCCGTCATCAAAAGCACCATTGCAGACTGAACATCTGACATGCTGTTTAAAATGAAAAGTCAAATATTCTTGCCTTGCAAAATCTTCGCTGCACATATAGCATCGGAATGGTTTTTCACACAAGTTACTGCTTGTGAGCATCTGCCTCTTTGGAGAAAACGTTTCATCCGAGGAAGGGCTGCTTAACAGCTGTAAAGACTCTCGCCGACACTCGTGACCGATGAGCGCCGACTCTGAAGGGAATGTTTTCTCACAGACGATGCAGCGGAGAAGCTTCTGCCCTGTATGGACAGATTGGTGTCTTGTCAAGTGCCCTCCAGAGGCAAACGCTTTCCCACAGTCTGAGCAAATGAAATGTTCCTCTGTAGTTGGATATCTTGCATTTATCTGCATATTATAGCTTTGTTCAGATCTTGTCAAAATCTCAGGAGGCATAATGGTTTTCGGAGGGTAACTTTCTGGATCGCAGAGCAAAATTTCTTTCGTCTCACTTAAGTCTGAATGTTTACAACTATTGTCCACATGTTCATAATTCCTGGGTTTGTCGTTAGTCTTTTTACCATGGCTCTGGGGGTTTGCATCAGGAATACTTACTTTAACACTTGAGGAATCTTTATTCCTTTTGCAAGCGACACCTAATTGATGCTGTCCGGTTTCTTTCCAATCATCACCATCTTCACTTTCCATACTCACTTCGGGTGTTTCATCCAAATCCAGTTGATCTGAATCTTTGTCTTGATGTACAGAATTGCGTTTGTGTTCTGTAACCATGAAATCCCAAGAAAATCGCTTGCCACACACATCGCAGCCATACGCTTTCGTCCCTGAGTGTGTCAACGTGCGATGCTTACAAACTCCAATTCGGGTGCCTTTCTTCTCGCATCTCGGACGGTTGTAGGGCCTTTCTTTGTGTTTTCTCATGTGTTTTTTTAATTTGGAAGCATAACAAAATTCCATTCCACAGACCGTGCAAATGCTGAGATGGACTTTGCTGTGATCCTTCATAAGACTCTTGTTAGAAAATACTTCCCCACATTTAGGACAAAAATGGTGTTTGCGACGATCACGCCGGGATGCTTTAACGGCACACTTGTGTCTCCTGACTTTTGATCGGTTTTTAAATGACTTTTTACAGTCGCTGCAACTGAACTTCTTCCTTACTTTTTTTCTTGTCGAGTGTTTCTTTGACTTACGGGAAGAGCAGAGTTTATTTTCCTGTTGAGCTTCCTTGTGCGACTTGAGGATCTTTTTAGAAAACGTTTCACTGCATTCATAAAAACTCTGTGTTCTAGGGGTTTTATCATCAGCGTAACGCTTTGAGGATTTACCACCACACTCGTGGTTTTTGACCTGCCGAGGTGTCAAAAACTTTTTTTTACAGCGTTTGCAACGTAACAGTTTGTTCCTCGGGTGGATTTCTGGTCGGCACGCTAAACGAGCGTACTTCTTCCTCCGTTTCCTCGTAGGAATTCTAATGCTTGCGTTCAGATTGTTCTCGTTTCGACATCTTCTTTGCTTCTGCCTCTTGTCACAGCTGCGTTCCTCAGACTGCGATTGCAACTCACTGCTGGAGTCTAACTCACTGCTTGAACTCGACTCGCTGCTTGAACTCGACTCGCTGCTTGAACTTGACTCGCTGCTTGAACCTGATTCCTCAGACTCCTCTGTTTCACACGTAGATTTAGTTGATGTCCGCATAAACCAGAGCTCTTTATGTTCCTCGCGGTTCAAACAGTAGAATCTCTCTTGCTGCATGGCAGAACCCTCCTCTTCATTTACCAGTGTCTGCAGTTCATCTTCAAGAAACACTGAAAAATACAAACAAAGAAAATGAAGTTCTGCTGATCTGATAAGCAGATCGACAGTCATTTGTAACTATTAAAAGACGAGCTGCAGTAGTTTAATAAAAAGATCAAATGTAACGACTTCACAATAAGAAAGCATTAATCAAATGAAAAGGATGAAAACGTAATTTTGCTATCATTAAACTATTGGCTGACTAGTTATGACAAACTTTTTTTGTCATATAAAACTCAAACAGACAACTTTGTTGTGTCACTGAATAAAAAATACAAAACTGAAAGTTCCAGCCCATTTAAATGAAAGTGGTGTTTATCTGAAAAGAGCTATTGTAACATTTAAAAGCCTCTATTGTTGTTTACCACTGAATAATTTTGGGTTGCGTTGATGAAAAATAAAAGTAACAATAATTAATAAAGACTTGTCTCAATAAAGAATTGTAGCTTTGGGATCATTCATGTTTTTATGTTTGAGTTTGTCAAACCCGGTCAGCCAAACTCTAACTCACATCTCTTTTAATGACTATTTTCAAACTACCAGTTCAACAAATATTTTGAAGGGTTTTAGAATTCAAAACCGCATTTACCTTGTTGTTGCTGAATATAGGAAGCTTGGGGTGTCAAATGCACCAAATCAAAAAGTCTGTTCCGTCTCCGACCTGCTTTCCAATGACAATTAGTAATTTGGCGGAGAAATGTTGACATTATCGGTTAATTTGAACTTGCCGTTTATGAAGATTTAATTTAGGACAATCTGGATTTTTCTCCCAACCAGTAATTCAGTGTGACGTTAGCCCGCATAACGCATACAACACTGTTTGAATAAAACGGTCGTTATGAAAGTTTTTCCCACAAAAACACAACCTTAACACTACAGATTTAGCAGAAAGAAGTCAAAGTGATTTTAAAGCTTGTATATAGATGGACTTTGAACTCAAGTCAACTCCCAGAAGAGATGGTTGTATGAGTAAGAGTTAAAGTCCCATTGGTCATCACACACTGGTGAAATTCATCTCCGCGTTTAACCCATCCCCGTGGGGAGCGGTGAGCTGCAGCAGTGGCTGTGCTTGGGAACCATTTGGTGGTTTAACCCCCCCCCCCCCCCCCCCCAATCCAACCCCTTAGAGCTGTGTGTCAAGCAAGGAGGCATTGGGTCCCTGATATTGGGTATGACTCGAACAGGATTTGAACCCCAATCCGAGGGCGGAACCTCTACCACTAGGCCACTGAGAAGGTAATAGATGATGTAACAGCAAGTTTTTCTAAATGTATTCTGTTATTCGTAATTTTTTTAAGAAAGGGAGAAAAAAGTGAATAAAATCGGAAATCGACTTTAGCATGAAAACATTGAAAATGTTATTGTTAAAGAGTAGTCTACGACATCGACTTCTGACTGACAAACCGTGGGCCCACCATCTTGGAACAGTCTCCTGATGACAAATTTGCAAGAGCCAGGATGACTGGGGAAGCTTCCGCCTTCTCACCTCTGATTGACAAGGAGGACTTTCCTATGAGTGGCTATTTTATTTAGCAATAAAACATCCTCCGTCACTCACTGCAGGCTGTCCCACCAACAGAAATAAACCAAGTCGAAAACTGTGATGTGTGTGTGTTTAAAGTCTAGCCATAACCCATAAACAGAGCTCACTTGTGGAGCAGAATCTACGGTTGTCCTTCAAACGGTCTCTGCATGCTATAGACCCTTTTACTGTTTGTAAACAATATGACGTCAGCGAGAATGCGCGCGCAGCTTGGCAACAGAGAATGGCGTTGTGTCAGGCTTTATCAAGCTACGCTGCGGGGTTATCACCAGCAAATCTTGAATGTTATATTATTAAACTCACTTTAACGAATGGCAACCGACTCCCGGATCCCTGAGGCATTACGGAATGGGTGGAAGATAGGTGCGTGGCCAGATATCCAGTGGTCCGATATATATATACGTTTTTAGTGGAGAGGCCCAGTAAGTACACACGTGAGAAGCTACGGGCATACAAATCGTTAGATGCATACAACTATGTTGTCTGTGGCCACGTACAGAAAGTAAAATATCACCACATAGACTCTGAGTTTTGCGTCTTGAAGGCAGAAGTCCTTCCTAGCCAAAGACAAGGACACAAGACTGCTATGTACAAGGCTTGGGTCATAGTAAACAAACCAGAGAACTACCTCTTCACAGTGTACGTAAACACAGAAGGCACAAAATCAGGACTCGAGGAGTCCAATGACACCTTGCCTGTAAATAGACTGCTTAAAAGCAAACCAGCAAACGCAACTTACTTTATTTAATAGAACACACGTTAACCAGCTTTCTGGTGTAATCTTAGTACATAATTACCTTACCTGATATAAAATGGGCGCTACAAACTCGAGCATTTCGGATCGTGTTTTCAGTCCAGTTTTCATCAACCCTTTTGATGGCCTGCAGCCACAGACGCCTCCGATTTTGTTGAAATGGATGTGCTCCCTTCGGAATTCTGTAAAGTTTCAGTCCACTGCTTGAAGAGAAGCGATTCTGGCATCTATACACGCAACAACCCGACATTCTTATGTGCTCAGAACTTCAAAACAAAGGGTTTAAAACGCTGTTTTAGTATCGAGTGTGAATGAGGAAGCCTTCACTCTCGTTGCCAGGCTGCGCGCGCAACTTTTGATGACGTAGGTAGTAAAAGGGTCTATTGGACAACGAACAACGCAACGTATTCACCGCTTCGCCTGTCAGTCAACAGGGCAGTCCGCCATAAACTGTCAAAAAAGATGCAAGTACATCCTTTTTTCTAAATAAAGATCTATCTATCTGCTCTTGACTCATTGAAATTCCGATAGAGCGATGAGACTGGCAAGACACAAGACTATTCGGGCCTGCTGAGGCTCTAATGAAGCGTGGTTAGACTGACTTGTAGAGTCAAATCCTTTTGCTCCAGCTACGGTCTGTCTAGATTTCTAGGCTAGCCTGTTGTCAGATTTATATTTGAAGTTCACATTTTCATAACTTGTTTGGATTGAGTCAAAGCCGTTTTGGGGGGTTTGGGGATGAAAATGTGAACTTAATAGCCTAAAGATTTCACTGCATTATTAACACTGTTGTACTGATTTTGACTGCTTGCCTTAACCTACAAAACTGTTATTTCCAAGTTGTCATCACAATAAAGACACCCCGTGAATTTTCAGATTATGTTTTGCCATCAAATTAAATAGCCAATCACAGGACAGGCTTTCCAGCCATTTAGAGGCAAGAAAGGCAGGACCTTCCCCTACCATCCTGAGATTCACAGATTCTCTTCCCGCTCCACAGTATGTGGTAATGTTTGTGGTAGTCGACGCAGTAAAGTGCCAGGGTTCAATAAGCAGTGTTGTACTGTATTTCCATTTTATTTGTCTGTAACGGCAAGCCATTTAAACATTTATTCAATGACACCTTCTTGTAATTCCTATTTTACATAGAAATTATATAGTTTATCCATGTCCAAATAGTATTCTTACCAGTTAAAATTGAAAGTAAAGATATCAACAAGTAGAAATTAAATTTAAAGATATTCATAACAACAACTACACAAGTGGGAATTTCTCATCTCATTTAATCAAAGTGCTTCCATCCTTCAATGTTGACTTGAAAAAATGCCATGCCCATATTTTAGATTTTTAACAGCAGTCGGTCTAAGCCATGTCTGTTCACATTGTCATCATGTGCAAGTCAAAGCAGTCCCGACCAGTTAAACTTAATTTCAGTTTTTATTTATTTATTATTTTTTACAGAAACTAAAAATGGGCAAATTAGAGTCTTCACCATCTAGAAGAAGAAGAAGAAAATATCATTTCGATAGCGCCTCTCAAGATAAAAATCACGAGGCGCTTCACAAAAACAAAAACTATAAAAAATTGTAAAAATATAAAAAACCACTTAGAAAATGTTAAAAAATATATTTAAAATGAGCAAGAATAGGCAATTGCGATTTAAAAGAAAAAATGTTAAGAAAGAGAGAGAGGGTGAATAGGAAAGAGGGAAATCAGTGGATCCTGAGGAAGGTGGAATAGGTGGGGAGAGCAGAATAAAGAGAGAGAGGTGAAGAAGGTCATACAAAAGCCAGCTTGAACAAGTGAGTCTTCAGCTGCTTTTTAAAGGAGACCACTGAGTCCACTGATCTCAGGCTCAGGGGGAGAGAGTTCCAGAGTCTGGGGGCCACAGCAGCAAATGATCTGTCACCTTTGGTCTTTAGCCTGGTCCTGCACAACCAGTAGGCTTTGATCACTGGACCTCAGGGACCTGCTGGGGGTGTAGGGACTAAGAAGATCACCAATGTAAGATGGTGCTTGTCCATGTAAGGCCCTATAGACCAGAACCAGGATCTTGAAATGAACCCTGAAGTTGACTGGCAGCCAGTGAAGCTGGAGGAGAAGCGGGGTGATGTGGGTGTGTTTGGAGGACTTGGTCAGAAGCTGAGCACAGAAATTCTGAACCACCTGTAGACGGTTCAGGGAGGTTCTGCTCAGACACGTGAAAAGAGAGTTACAGTAGTCTAAGCGTGAGGAGATGAAGGTGTGGATAACTGTCTCAAGTTCAGAGCGAGACAGAATGGGACTCAGCTTTGCAATGTTGCTGAGATGGAAGAAGGAAGAGCCAACAAGAGAACTGACATGAGAATCCAGGGTGAGAGCTGGGTCAAAGGTCACGCCAAGATTCCTGACGGAAGGTTTGGTGTGAGAACCAAGCTGACCAAGAGAGTCTCTGACTTTGGGAACCAGCTTGTCTGGGGCACAGATGAGGATCTCAGTCTTATCTTCATTCAGCTGTAGAAAGCTCCCACCATCCAGGTTTTGATAGAGTCTAAGCAGGTGTGTAACAGCTGCAGCTTAGACATCTCATGGGGCTTAAAGGAGATGTACAGCTGGATGTCATCTGCATAAAGATGGTAGGAGATTCCTTTGAAGTAGCTCAGGATGTGCTGAAGAGGGAGCAGATAGAGGAGGAAGAGTAGAGGCCCCAGCACAGAACCTTGTGGGTCACCATGGGTAAGAGAGGTGGTGGAGGACCTAAACTTGGAGACGGCCACAGAAAAGGAGCGCTCAGAGAGATAAGAGGAGCTAAGTGGAATTCACCCACACCATCACCCACCCACACACTCATCCTCACTCCACACCCATGAGGACCTCACTTGAGCCGCCACGGCACAGAAAACGCAAATCTGACCTGTGTGTTAAACCAAATTCCGGTGCCGTTCGGTACCGACGCTAATGTGTAAGCGCCAATACATACCACAGCCTTTTACATCCATGTGGCAGATGTGAGGAAGCAACTGAAGACTCGGAATGAACGGAAATCCCCCGGCTCTGATGGTGTGTCCCCTGCATCCACTAGCATCGGCTCTGCTCCACCTGTCCCAGCCTGGCTGCGTTCGTTCCACACTGCCTTAGGAATGCGGACGTGATTGAGCACATGAGCGGTCTGTGGCTTGTGATGTTATGAGTGCATCTCCAAGCACATGGGTGGGGCAAAGGAGCACGGAGAAGTCCGCGGTGTCTCGATTATTAAACAAAAGGGGCCTGAGCAGTCCTGCTTTTGGAGACTCTCTGACTCTGATTTTGCATGCTGCTTGGCTGTGTCTGGCAGCACTGTCAGACCTGCCAACCTTGTCAAAAATTTTTGAGTACCACTTGTGCTGCGTTTTTTCGCGGACTTTTGCAACTCCATTGCTTTTCACGCTGTAATCTCTCTTAGTAAAGGAGAGAAGATGAGATAAAGGAAAGAAAAGTATTTCTTAGACAGCTGCTCTCAAAAGTCGTCATAGCTGCGGTTTCTTTGTTCACATCAATGCCCCCCCCCCCCCACTGTAACACATTCATATACATTCATGTATTGTACTGAACAGAAAGTCATTTCTCTCTCTCTCAAACACACACACACACACACACACACACACACACACACACACACACACACACACACACACACACACACACACACACACACACACACACACACACACACACGTTCATAGTTCTTATTTTGACTGGTAAGGTTATAGACGTTTTTACAGTTTGACCTGACTCCAAAGTATCATGTATTGTAATATTAAACAGTAAAACTTTAAAGTTTCCTTATATAATATTTGTGCTTATACAAGTTACTTGCATTAAATTATTTCAATACAAATTAATAAAAAAAAACATTTATATGTATTTAATGGCAATTATTTAGTTTGTAAATTGCAATAGGTGTTTCTATTCTTAAGAATCCATCCATCCATTTTCAGCCGCTTATCCAGAGTCGGGTCGCGGGGGCAGTAGCCTAAGGCGAGAGGCCCAAACTTTCCTCTCCCCAGCCACTTGGGCCAGCTCCTCCGGGCGAATCCCAAGGCGTTCCCTGGCCAGGTGAGAGACATAGTCCCTCCACCGTGTTCTGGGTCTACCTTTAGGTATCCTCCCGGTTGGACGTGCCCGGAAAACCTCACCAGGGAGGTGTCCAGGAGGCATCCTGACCAGATACCCAAGCCACCTCAACTGGCTCCTCTCGATGAGGAGGAGCAGCGGGTCTACTCCGAGTCCCTCCCGAATGTCCGAGCTCCTCACCCTATCGCTAAGGCTGAGCCCGGCCACCCTACGGAGGAAACTCATTTCGGCCGCTTGTATCCGCGATCTCGTTCTTTCGGTCACTACCCAAAGCTCATGACCATAGGTGAGGATTGGGACGTTGATCGACCGGTAAATCGAAATTCCCACGCACCTTCCAGGATCCCCCTAAGGGTATAGAGCTGGTCCAGTTTTCCACGGCCAGGACAAAAACCACATTGCTCCTCCTCAATCTGAGGTTCAACAATCCGACGGACCCTCCTCTCCTGAACCCCTGAATAGACCTTACCAGGAAGGCTCAGGAGTGGAACCACCACCCCGGTCTGCCAGTGTAGTGGGACTGCCCCAGATTCTCAAGAATGTAATATTAAATTGGCTTAAAGCACATATGCAGACATCACCAGGGCTAATTTACAAATTACCTGCAGCTCCCTGGTGGCTTGTGTCCACATCATAATTGCAGATTGTGCAAAATGCATGGTGAGGTTGTTTAGAGGGTCGCAAGCATGGCCACTGTTCTTGATATTTGGACAAAAACTTCTGAGACACATGGAACCACTTCTTTTTGGCAGGTCTGCTAACCAATCCCTCCCTGTCTGCTTCTCCCTCATCTGCCATAGAATGAGTTGCAAAACAAACAAAAAAAAGACTGCCTGTTTAAACTGTATAAATAATCAAATTGCCTCTTTCTGAGGCACCTGGACATTTCTCCATGGAGGGTAGAGCTGTTAATGCGCACATGCACGCACACACCATACGGATGGGCAAAAGGCAGATGGGATAAATTATTGCCCCAGTCTGCCCCTGAAGCTCACCCACCAAACTTTGTGAGCATTTAGCTGGCAGCTAAAATTTTGGTTTTACTCATCACTCATGCATCTGTTGCACAGTGGGAAACTGTATTTCATTAGTTGCATAATTTAGTTCATTTTGGCATGATTTCTGTTTATATTTGCATGATTTGTTATGCTTGGTTGTAATTTAGAGTTTTTCCCTTGGGAAGCTTCCCAGAGATGCTAAGTTGAGCTGGCTGCAGCATGCTGGGGAGGGGAATAGAACTATCAGCTAACCTGAGGAAGGAGAGCCAGGGTGAAGAGCAGCTGGGATGGCAGACATGAGAGCCGGCTAAGAGGCAGAGATGCACCCAGGATGGTGGCGTCTCTACAAGGGCACATGTGCTCGAATCCTCCCGGAACAGAGAGGAGTACTCGGAGCACAGTCACGGAGGATGGACAGTGGCCAAGTGCGGAGGAGCGTGGGTGTCCCTCTCTCCGCACGTGTGAGCGGCGTGTGCAGGTGCCACTGTGTCCGGTCAGGGACTGGGACAGAGGAGGGAGACATGCCCACCAAGCGTGGCTGTGCCAGGAAGCTGCAGGATAATCGGAGGACTGGGAAACCCTGTCAGACAGACACATACAGGAGGCTGGAAAATCGGAGGTCCAGGAGGAGTGGCGGTGTTGTGCCAAGAGGAGACGCTGCTGTAGGGATGGGAGAGGCTGCTGCAAACAGGATCACCGAAGGGGAGGAGCGTGACAGGAGGAGTGCTGCTGACAGCTACACCTACAGACCCCATCAACGGTCTCGGCTCTTTTGGGAGTGAGAGACAATTTTATACAGGAACTTAGTTTTTGCTGATGCACCTTTTTAAGCAGATTGTAAAGTAAAGTGCCCCTGTTTCAAACCACATCACTCCTTTCTCTGTGCATTGTCGGAGTTGCTGGTTCCCCCTCGGATTCGTTGGCGAACCTTTGTGTTCAGCTCAGTTACACGTCTCCATTGAGTGGTTGCAATGTTGGAATGGCACCGGTATGAAGTAGTAATCCATCTGAAAACCCACTCCGGTACTGGTGGAATTTAACTAATGGCCTGTGAAATCACGTAGGGCTGGGTGATATATTGCGATATAATCTGAAGCATGTGCGGTAACGATATATATTGCGATACATTTTTTCCTCTGTTTATAGATGTCAAAATGACATGCTTTTAAACATCCTCATGAGGCAAATACATGCCACTTGAGGCATATAGGCCTCCTCCTCCACCCACTCCATGCTTGCAGTCACTGCCATTCTGTTGTCCCAATGTCAGCAGGGTGCACATCTTAGTGACGTCATGTGTTATCGCGATATCGCAGGATTGCGATATAGCCAAAAACTCTATCATTAGCCACTTTTATATTGTTTCTACCGTAAATCATTTATATTGCCCACCCCTAAAATCCCGGTCACGTTCTGGCTCAATTCTTGAGAGCTCCTGAAGATGAAATTCAACCATTTCTGCCAATTAAACTCTCGTTAAGAAGACTGCACAGAGATCATACACCTCTCACAGACAAAAATGCATTTTTGAGTTCTAGGCATTATTTAGAGAGCAGACTAGCTAAGATAGAAATTACATCTTCTGTGGAGATTAAACTCCCCGCTAGCTACATGGAGAGTTGGTGTTGGTATTTACTGTCCAGGAGAACCGGGATCCAGATTCAAGACTACCTGGGTGACAAGGAACAGGCCATGAGGTTGCAACCATGCTCCATCCAGCATTTTGCAATAGCTCAGCAGTTAAATAGAAGAAACAACCAAGACAGGAAAATGCACGCGAGAAGCCAAAAACAGTTTTGAGGGAATTTTTAATGAAGAAATAATAATATATTATAGCCAAAAGCTCCAAAGTGGATTTTGCATGATATTCTCTTTGAGAAAATTCAGTCAGTTAATTTTCTAAAGATGGAACATATTTTTTTTTATTTTTTAAATAGTTTTGCCTGTTTTTTTTTAAATTAAAGCTGAAAAAGTCGAGAAAGCAATTTCCTAAAGAGAAACTACTTAAACTGTGATAAGCTATAATTATTTTGTACATTATTATGTCATCTGAGAATAGTTTGTTGGAGAATATCATTAAAGATGTACCTGTTTATTTGGAAAAAAAGAAATGATTTTATTTTTTTCCCTCACCATATAAAAACAGTCTAATTAAAACCCGAGAGTGTAAAAAACCAAGATTTTACGCATACTATACACACACACACACACACACACACACACACACACACACACACACACACACACACACACACACACACACACACACACACACACACACACACACACACACACACACGTGAGGACAAACTCCCTGTAATCTATCTGAAACGAATCATAAGAGAAAAAGTTACATTTCCCTTCATGTAATAACTAATAAAGAAAGAGTGTAAAATAACATGTAAATGAAAGTCAAATTGCTAATTTTGTCTTACCTTCGTAATATTCAAGCCTCTCTTTGAACTCATCGCTAATGAGCTTCTTTTCCCTCAAATCTGCCAAAAGTCTCTGCAATGCGATCCTCGCCCGTTTTTCTCTTGCCATAGCGTTCTTCTTTTCTTGCTCCAGACCTTCCACCCTCGCCAAGGCTTCGTGGAATCTAGCCTTAAGAATGGAAGGAGAAGGTGGCAAGGCGTAGCAATGGTCCTAGTAGACAAGAGGAATGAACATGGCATGAATGATGTTTCACTTCATCCCTTTTGACACCACTAGAGCATTGCCCACATTCTTTCGTATAGTAGCAGCATTGTGTTTTTATGTGCTTGTACCGAATTTGGTAGTTTTTAAGGCACCGATCGAATTCCATAGTACCGACCGAGCACCGATTCACGTCATTTCAAACGGTGCCTCGTTTCGGTACCCATCCTTCATAACGAGAACTTGCCAAGACAGCTGCGCATGCGCAAGAGCGTTATGTCGTCGGTCGCTGCGAGCGAGTTGTAAACAGAGCAGCATGGTAGAAAGAACACAAGCTAACGCTTGGGTCTACTTCACTAAATGTGATGGGTAACTGGGTGATGATGAAACCAGCGACAACGATCTAAGTGAGACATCCTCATCTTAATCTGCTCCGGTAGGTAAATAAAATGTTTAAGATAACGTTACCTTGATTTGTTAGCTTTCGTTTCACTAATGGTGCGTTCGCTTTCTCCTCGGAACTCCAAATTTCTGACTAGAAGAACATGAACGCGCCCTAAAGTTTGGCTTCACTTTACTAAATGCGACGGGTGATTGGGTGAAGATGAAACCAGTGAACACGATTTAAGTGTGAGGCATCATCGTTTTAATCTGCTCCAGCAGTTAAATAAACTGTTAAAGATAACGTTAGCTTGATATGTTAGCTTCCATTGCCACCATTGTTATCAGCTAATGGTGCGTTCGCTTTCTCCTCGGAAATTCTAACATCCCAGTAGGAAAAATCAAATGAAAAAGGACGGCAAAAGGAATGAAGATACACAATAAATTTAGTTCACAGTAAAGATGTTTGTTTCAGTTTAATTATCAGCTTATAAAACTACAAGGACGATGTTAAAGAGCAAGTCAACCCCTACCAGAGTCTAACTCCACTCCCACTTCATGTTTGAAAAATGCAACACATGCTGTTGCCTGGCAGACCGAGAGGGCGGAGCTGCTAACAAATACACACACACACAGGCTCATGACAGCATTGTGACATCATAATGTACCAGTTTACATCATAGCATACTTCTTAGCCAATAGCGGTGGCAGATTTAAATTAAAATACAGTGCAGAGTTTTTACCTGACAACGGCACAACACTGCCAGTTTTAGGCAGAATATTTAAATTTTAACTAAGATGCACTGAAGTGCCAAATTATTGACGACACGTGTCTGCAGCACAATTAGACGCTCGTTTATTTAGTTTATCAGCAAAAAAAAAGTTTATTTGGGGGTGACTTGCTCTTTAAAATACAAACAGTTGAATGTTATTTATCGTGATATTTATCAAATATTGTTATATATTGAGAAAAAATATATAATTATAAAAGAGAATTAAAATAATAAACACTCAAAAGTATCGAAAATTGGTACCGTTAAGTACCGGTATCGATTCCTAGGTACCGGAAATTAGTACCGAATCGATTGAAATGTCAAAGGTACCCATCCCTAGCTTGTATGTGTGTGCATGGGTTTATTTGTAAGTGTGTTTAATATGAATGAAGATTTTAAACATGTCCAGGACCATATTGATGTGATGTTCAAAATAGAAATACTCACCTCCTCAAAGGCCTCGGGCAGGCTCTCCTCAGCTCTAAGGAAGATAGACATCTTGTGCTTTCCTGTCTAAAATGAAGAAGCATAATATTTGAAAATAATACGGTAATTGTAAACGGCCTGTATTTAATATAGCACCTTCTTGTGTTCTAAAACCCAAAAGGAGTTTTACAACACAAACATTCATTCACCCACGCACACACACCGGTGGTGATGATGACACACCTACAATGAAGCCACAGGGTAACATCGATTAATCAGACATGGTTTGAGTTTACAGAGGCTGAAGTTGAGTAGAAAAACATCCTCAGTTAAATATTCTGGGCAACTATCTGTCTAAAAGCATGTTAACGCAGACGAGATGCGGTTCGTTTATTAATACACGATGAACACAGACTTTCTGAACATCTCCTGTTATTTAGTTTGAACCAGGTTTTCTCAACAGTTTCAGCTGATTGTCAAGTTTTATTAATAATAAGCCACAATAGAGCCCAGTAATAAAACATGAGTCTGACCCCCCCCCCCCCCCCCACACACACACACACACACACACAGCCATCATGTCTGACCCGCGGACAGCTGATCAAGAGGCAGAGACAAGAATAACCCTCCCTTATTTTAATATTGTCAACAATAAAACGCAGCAAAGCATAAATCTGCAGTTATTCACTGAAGAAAACATAACTTCTTTGAGCAAAATTAAAACATTAAATTGATTAAATGAATCAGGATAGCAGGAAGAATTATTTCTGTTTCTAAATTTTTCATTTCGTTTCATACTGTTTGTTTACTTTTTTTTTTCAGGAAAGACAATTCTGCGCACGCTCAACCTGTTTAATCTGATTGAATACTTGGTGCATTTCAGTTGGTGTCCATGTAAAGAGAGATTCGGGATTTCCGATCAACCAAGATTGGAATTGGATTGGGGAAATTTGGCGCATGTAAACGTGCCTACTGTATGACCGGTGCCAGAGCTTAGTCTGGATTCTCAGCAGTAAGCTGGGCTTGTTCCCAGTGAGAGCTGGACTCCGCCAAGGCAGCCTTTTGTCACAGATTATGCTGATAACTTTGGGGTCTTGTTCATGAATGAGGAAACAATGGAAAGGGAGATCAATCAGTGAATTGATGCTGTCTACAGTGATGCGAGCATTGTACTGGTCTGTCTTGAAGAGGCCAGTTGATCTATGTTCCAACCCTCCCCTATGGTCATGAATTTGGGTAGAGAATGAAAGAACAAGATCGTGGATACAAGCGGCTGAAACTCTGCAGGGTTCCTGGGATCACCCATTATGCCTCATTCCCATCTGTACCTGGTCGGCCCTGCCCGGATAGCTCCAGTCGGCCCCAGCCTGGCCCGGTTGATTCCACACATCCTTGCGTAGGTATGCAGTCAGAGACATTTTCAGCTTCTAAGTAATCAGCATGATAATGAATGATGATGAATTGAGCATGCCTTAAGGTTGGTTTATGCTTGACGCGTCCGCGAGGTCCGCATGGTTCCGCGCGGAAAAGTTGCGTCATTTTGACAACCACGCCCCTCCACCACGCTTCCGCTCGACCCCAAAATTTCCGCAACGCGCACCTAGGAAATTTTCTAACCACGCGGACGGTCGGACGCAGAAAAACATGGCGGACCGGCAAGAACTAGTATGGCAGAGGTTCGTAAATACAGACATTTGTATGATTCAGCTCTCAGAGATCACCGTGATCAACATGTTGTTAATAATTCTTGGAGAGAAATAGCTCGCACTGTCGGAAACGACGAGGACGCTGTTAAAAATGCTGGAATGCCATGTTGTAAACAGTAATTTCTACTTCTACTATGGTGTAGTGTTGGATGCAAGCCGTAGAGCTCCATGCTGCCCCCTACAGTTTGGGAGAATATTGGCTCACCGCAGAAACGAGCCGCATGAACCATAAACGCTGCGAGTTGTGAAGCGCGTTCCATCCGCGAGCCGCATCACCAAGCGGAAAGTGAATGCGTCAAGCATAAACCAGGCTTAAGCTGGCAGGCCACCAAGATATGTAAGCAAGCTATGCTATCCGGGCCGGGCTGACCAGGTACAGATGGGAACGGCCCATTAGAGATAGGGAAAGGGCTCATATTAGATCCACAGCATCTCCAAATCTAGAGGAATCTGTTGAAATGGTACAGCGATCTGGTTAAGATGCCTCCCTGGTGAGGTCTTTGAGCATGTCCATCCGTGAGGAGGCCTAAAGTAAGACCCAGGACATGCTGGAGGGATTATGTTTCTCGGCTGACCTGAGAACTCCTAAGAATTCCTCTGGAGGAGCTGACCCGAGTGGCTGGGGAGAAGGAAATCTGGGCGTCACTGCTTAGACTGCTGTCCCTGTGACTCTACTCGGATAAACTGAGGAAAATGGATGAATTGATGGATAAGATATTTGTATTTCTAAATGCTGATAGCCTTTTGATGCACTTACTTTTTGAGGTTTAACTGGGAAGCTGAAGATTGATGGAATAACTCCATCTCTAAGTCTCACAATCTGACCAGTTCTATCAAAATCCTCCGGCTTAAAATGCTCACTGCAAAGCACGGTTGTATTAGTTGCAGTGAAGTCTTTTCTCCTTAGGGCCCTTTCCCATTTCTTCCTCATATCTTTCCTGGGAAACCTTCAAGATAAAAACAGGAGATTTGGAAGAGTCTATTCACGCACGCGCGCGCGCACACACACACACACACACGTACGTATGTCTTTCTATCATTGTGAGGACCACTTCCATTCGTTTTTGTGACTGTATTATGCCTAACCCATTCCCTAATCCTAACCATAACCAGTGCTGATCTATTCCTAACCCTAATCTTAACTAAACCTTAATTCACACCATACCTCTAAAACCAACTGGTAAGCTTAAAAAAGTGAGGACCAGAAAAATGTCCTCACTTTGTAGGGAAAATAGAGAAAATGGTCCTCAGTATGTAGTAAGTAGAACACGCACGCACGCGCACACACACACTTTGCATTTAGGACAATTCTACAATGATTTTATTCCTACTTATTTACTTATTCTTCCTTTAAATTTCTTAGAACCTTGGTTAAATTAATTGCTTAGGCTTCATAGCCTGGGGCACACCGGAACTAAACATGTAGCCACCGGAAATAACATAACATGTTGCTAACATGATGCTGATGGCTAACATGTTAGCGACTGAACAGTAATTAAATTAAATTTATGTTTAAAAATAAGCTCAACCTTACTTGTGAAAAGTGATCCCCCGCGCCTTAGACTCAACAGTCCGCCGATTTGAACAAGAGTACGCCGCACAGAACTCTGGCATTTCTATTTTGCTGCTGTTTTGGTTTGTGTGGACAGGAAAACCTGTCCAAGATGGCAACCCCAGCAGCTAACGCGGGATCTAATCTTTCTCAACGGGCCAAGCAGAGCTTCCAGATCTAAAGTTAATGATTTCCGTAAAAGCGAATAATTTTAGCTGCTGAAATCACCACATTTACCTTAGATCATACTCTACGAGAAACCAAACCAAACCACAGAACTCGGCATGCTTTCTTATTTTAGTTCGAAAAGTCTTGCGGTGACGTCACTTGCTGGACACGCTCTGTTTTTCACAATAAAACATTTTTGTACGAAATCCTAATTTTTGTTAACATTGCGTGGAGATGAGATGGGACCAAAACAAATATATATTCTCACGTTCTGTGTAAGTAAATCTTACATGTTAGATTCCATACAAACCCTTAAATAATTGGTACTGAATAATTTTATTGAGAGAATTCCGACAAGAATGGAAATACTAAATAAAGCGTATGTGTTTAGTCACCTCATAGTAAATAAACTACTGCAACATCTCCTGGAACTGTTGATTAGGTCCTGCAGATCAAATAGAAAAAAGCCTGTGTTCATCATAGTTTTTCTTTTTAATTAAAGTTTTATTTTATACGTTTAATAAAACTTTATCTCATGGTTAGGCATATTTACCATTGTATGTTAACAAACTTTATTGCTAAGTCAAAAAGATTATATTCAGATATATATTTTTTAATGTTAGATAAAATTTCAAATCTTCTGATTACAGCCCACGCTTTATTTCTTGGTGTTAGTCTTAGCCTGACAAGCCAGACTATATATGTGAATATACTTTGCAACGCAAGAATTTGGTCTAGTTCACTAGGCTATGTTAGTCTACCATCTAGTGGACTAATTTACCATTGTAATGTTTTTCATTCAAAGCAGTTTTTAGGATTTATTTTAGTTGATTAAGCTAGATTTATACATGTATGTGGCTTGTTTTGTTTGTTTGAATTGGACACCCATTTCCCCTGCTGCTCTAATTTGCTAAAGTTTCACTCACTGAGTTTTACAACCTGGTACAGAGATGTAATCAAGTAGGCTAAGTAAAGTTTATCTAGATATATCAGGTCAAGTACTCTTTATTCCAGACTCTTAGTCTAATTCACCAATCTAAAAATTCACAAATTAAAAATAAATAAATAAAAATCTGATAGTTAATTAAAAAATGTGTTTGCTTGTAACAAACACTACACTATTTGCACGTTAAAGTTTCCTTGGCTTACATCTAAAAACACCGCACATCACAACCCTACATCAAGAAATCAAACATGATTAACAACTTTTATTTTGAAAATCGACCTGGAAGTGATCGGGTTTTTTTTTTCGTTATTTTTGTTTTGAGTTCACTATCAATATGGAGAAAATGTGGTTGTTTGGTTTTGTATGCATGTCCAGAGCTAAGTAAAAGACAGAAATTTTTAATACAAGATTTAAAAACTCTCCCAGTCTGACCTTTTAAACATGTCCAAGTTTCAGAGTCTGAAAATTTACATGGAGCAGCGGCTAACTGCGGCTGTGGACGACATACTGGGACATTTTGAAAGGACGATGCTGGAGTATGAAGAGGAGACAGAGCGTCGCCATCGGGACTTTCTGGGTGTGATTTTAGCGGCAGAAACGAAGCATCAAATAACAGGTTTGTTATTGTTTTTACTGCCGTTAAGCTATTGCTAGCTAAACTTTTAGCAGGTCTGATACAGAAAACAGTCTAGCCCTTAATTATGGTTTGATTTTCATGTAATTATTTATTATAGCTTACTTGGTTTACAATCATGAGCACAATTATAAACAGGCTAACAAAAGTGCAAAGGACATAAAATAAACAGGACCATGAACAAAACCATAAAAATATACAAATAAGATGAGTACAATATCAAACTAAAATTAAAAGAAAAAAAAAAGTTTTTTAAAGTCTTAAGTGATGGGAAGGTCTGACATCAGCCTGACCTCAGTGACCTTTTAGGATTTCTCAAAGTAAAAAAAAAAAAAGACGCAAATGCTACCAAGCAGCTTTTTGTAATTGTTGCTTAATATTGCAGTCAATGTCACAGAACCAAATATTGAATATACATCAGTTGGAAACATGTTCTGGACAGAAGCAGTCAGTAGGTTTCATGAGTTTTATTACTCTCCTTGTTTCAGGAAAAAAAAGTCCCCACCTGAATTTAAATTAAGTAAATAAAGTAAAATGCCATTAGGCTCAAATTGTAAAAAGTTCATGAAGACATAATTTTCACACATGGATTGATCAACAGAGTCCAGACCTTAACCCCACAGAGATTCATATACCGCATACCCCCCCACTCCACCCCACCATCCCTATAAGATCGTGGCGCAAAATAATTTAAAGACATTGATGAAGCTCACCGAAACCAAGCCACAGTTAATATGTGCCACAATCAAAACCAAAGACACTCATTCATCTAACTTCCGCAGATGAAAGTTTTCAGCTGTAAAGGATGTGGCGTTTCAGATTTATGTCTGCATCTTCCTCGTATGTTTGTTCATGAGAGGAACCACCCACACACCGGTGGTACTTCAGCTCCGTGTACCAGCCGAAGCATTTCTTACACTCGTCGCAGCTGTACTTCCTCTCTGCGTAGTGGACAGACATGTGAGACTGCATGCTTGCCTTGTTTGAAAACTTTTTCGGACAAAACGAGCAGCTGAACGGCTTCTCGCCTGTGTGAATTCTCATGTGAACTTTCAGATTTGAACTATAAATTGATCTATGACCACAAACCGAACAAAAATATCTTTCTGTGTGCTGTTTCATGTGAATCTTCAAATACGAACTGTAGCGAAACACTTTATTACATTGAGTGCAGCCATAAGGTTTTAAAACAGTTGCGTATTTTGCTCCAATTTCTGTTGCTTCTTGTCCTGATGATTTCACATTTGATTGCGGCTTCCTGCTTTCTTTCCAAAAGTCGCTGTCAACGCTGTCGTCGCTCTCAGGCTGGAGGGAAGCAGCGGCCTTATTCCTTCCAGAATCACTTTCAGAGTTAGAACCTGACCGATGTTTCCCATTTGGTTTCCAAAAGTCGCTGTCATCGGTGTCTGGGTCAGAAAACATCTTTTCGTTTTCCTCTGGATCTGCCCCTCCGAAAGAGTTTTTACTCTCTTCGTTGTGACAGTGATGAGGCTGTAACGACTGAGGTTTCTCCTCATCTTCTTCAGTTTTCACCAGGACAGAACTGAATGGAAACTTGGTGATCTCAGCCTCCTCCTCTTCTTCTTTTATCTGTGGAGGGTTCAGATCTTCAAGCTTCACCTCTTCTTTATTAAAAACTGGTTCCTGATTCTCTTTGACTGTAAAAAATTCTAAGTCTTCCTTAGCTTCCTCAGGTTTTGTGGACTCTGTCCACAAATCACCTTCTTCAGCTTTGAAGCACGCTGAAGCCTCCACACTTCTCTCTTGACTATCTGCTTCAGTATTTGGATGTTTGGTTGGCTCTAACCCTTCAAAATCATCTCCATCAGCTGATGATTCCATGTGTTCATTCTCCTCCCTATTCTCCTCAGTCTGGCCCCGAGAAAGCTCCAATAACTGATGAACAACTTTATGTTTAGTCAAAAGATAATAAGTGGAAAATTCAGCACCACAAGGTCTGCAGCGGAAAACCTTTTTCCTTTTCATATGGACTTCCATGTGTTTGGTCAGGTGTCTCCTCCATGCAAAGTCCTTCCCACAAACATGGCAGGTAAACTGTGTTTGTCTGGTGTGGATCCTCATGTGCTGAATTAACGTCTCTTTGTCGCTACAACTGGTGCTGCAAACCGAACAGCTGAACAAGCTTCCCTTTGTGTGAATTCTCAGATGAAGATTTAAGTCTTCAGATTTTGAAAATCTTTCATCACACTGAGAGCACTTTAGCAGCTCTCGATCCTGAGGAGACTCACTAGAGCACAAGTGACTTTTGAGCTCAAACTCAGAAGTGAATGGATTCTTACAGATAACACAGCTGAGCAGCTGCTCTCCTGTGTGGTCAGACAGGTGTCGTGTCAGAAGTCCTCCTGTTGAAAATTCTGATCCACAGAAAAAACAGTTGAATCGTTTCATATCTGCACGACTTCCTGAAGCACTGACTTCTTTAATTTGACCGTTTACACGTGGCTGCTGTGACATTACCTGGCTACAAAATTTACCTGGAACACCTTTGTTCCTCTTGGAATCGGTTTTTGCCTCATTATCAAAACTACTTCCTGGTTTCTCACGTTCCTGTGATGATTCACTACATCCAGAGTGACAATATTTGAAGATTTTTTCAGAGTCATCACTTATAGGTTTTAAGATATTTGCATTGTTGTGACACCTGTTGTCATGTTGGTCTTCCTGGTCCAGACTGGAGATTCTGACCAGCTCATCAGTAAGAATATTTCCTTTCAACAGCTTCTGGGTGACTGAAAAACAGAATAGATGTAGATACACAAGTGATTTTTGAGAGTAAGCCATCTTGAGACGACTGCAGCAACGTCCTGATTGATGAAAATAATAAACATCCACCCAACATGTGGGAAAGCATCGGAGTCTCTTGTGATGTGTAAGGGTTGGTTTTTCCTATCTATTTAAGGTAAGTGTGACTGCTGCAGGATAAAAATAAACGTCTCGGGTACAAACAATCTTACATCATACATATATTCTTTGAGGAAAGAGACACGAAAAATAACTTCTTACTTCTGAAGGTTTAGAAGCTAACAGAAGAACCCTAAGGAAAGTTATGCAGTCATACTGTACATACCATTAAATTACCATGAATATAAATGTATACATAAAGCTACAGCTAACGGTGTACTCGGCTAACGTTAGCTTAACGCTGTTGTTTCACACTAACAAGCCGCATGCCAGTAAAAATCAAAAATAAAACAAACCTGGAATTTTCAACCCCACTTTCAGTCGTTTATTAAATGGATTCATTTTAACCCGTTAAAATGGACAAATTTACTCCAGACGGGCTGAATTCCTCACTGCTACCGAGTGCTACATGCAAATAGCAACTTCCGGGAGAGCTTTTCAGAATAAAACTAATTTCTTACAGTAAAACCAGACATGATTGGACATCTTTATGCTGAAAATGGAATCAGATGTATTAATTAGGTATACGTTTAAAACGGATAAATCAAACTATTAATGATTTCTTGGGTTTCACATTTTTTAAATAATCAGATAAATTAAATAATTTTATTTATCAAATTTTCTATTTATTAAAATATAAAAAAAACACATTGATTGTTTCAGATTTTTCATATTTTTGTCACTGTACACCAACAACCAGGAAAATAGGGAACACAGCAATGTGTAAACTTTTAAAAATGGTAAATACATCTTGTATATCTTCAGAGAAAAGTTTTTTGTCCTTTACTTTTTATGGTTTTACTTAAATATGATTGATTTTCACAGTGCTGTAAATTATTAGTTTCAAATGGCAGAGTTTTGGAAAATTATTAATTACTGAAGGTGTTAATGACATCATGCTGTTTAGAAAACACCACTGGCCCAAACAATTTTAGGGCTGGCCTATCACAGTGCTCTATGTGTCCAGAGAGACATTGAAGACGTTTAGCACCAAAGCTGCATCGGAGAAAAACTACAAAGATGGCGTTGTTGCTCTGATTCGTTCTAGTGCTGTCCAATCGTGTACAGAGACAGTTTGAAAATGGCAGTAGATTTCGCCCCACAACCAAGCCCTATCTATGGGTCATAGCCTGACTATATAGTGTTCACATATAAAGAATAGCTTGCCAGGCAAAATTTTTGTAGCATTACTAGAATAATCCAATGTTTGCTATTGCATATTCTATTTAAATTCAAATTCAAATTCAAAAATACTTTATTAATCCCAGAGGGAAATTATCGAGTTTCAGTACACACAACTCTGAGATCAGCCATACATACATAAACACATGACAAGAATTGGTGACTGTGGTCATTCACAACCCGAGTTGCGCTACCGTAAAAAATCAAGAGGGGTTCAAACAGGTTGAAAAGCTTTCATAATTGATCAATAGCACAGACTTGTTAGAATTTCTGACATGTATTTAGTGTTTATTGTGTTCAACGTTAGGTGTGATTTATTGGTTTTCCTTGTGTTTCTTCCAGGGTTTTCTCCAGATTTGCAGCAGCTGCTGACAGAGACAAAAGACACTCTCTCTGAGCAGCAGCAGTTGGAGGAAAGTGCTGCTGTAGACTTGGAGGATGAAGAGCCAGAACCCCTCAATATTAAAATAGAAGAAGCAGAAACAAACATCACTATGCTTAAACTCAGTCATGTCTACATGAAGACCGAAGACGAAAAGGAAGAACCTCAGTCTTCACAGCTTCAACACAGACAGACCGACAAGACAGTCTCCTTAGATGGAGAAGACGGTGAACGACTTGAAAGGGATGCCAGTGACGTGAAACCAAAGCTGAAAGTCAGAGTTGAGGATCGTAGTGTCACCCAGAAACCTTATTCCAGACAAGATCGTGGAATTTCCCTAAATGACACCAGATCTAACAGCAGGAATTTATATCGATGTTCGGAATGTGGGAAAATATTTAGCTCCCCCAGCTATCTTAAGTTACACATAAGATGTCACACAGGTGAAAGGCCCTTCAGGTGTCCTATTTGTAGGAAAAGTTTTTCGTGGAAAGGACGTATGCAGAAACACGTCAGAATCCACACAGGGGAGAAGCCTTTCAGGTGCTCAGTGTGTGGCAAGATGTTCAGTGAAAATGGAAATCTAAAAGTCCACATGAGGATTCACACGGGAGAGAAACCATTCCGCTGCTCCATTTGTGGGAAAGCTTATGCACAGCGGGGGAATATGAAAAGTCACATGATGGTTCACAAAGGAGAGACAATAGTCAAACAATGAACGCTGGTTCATCAGCCATCAAAGCTGACTGGAGGAGAATCAGCTGCAAAGTCAGATGTAAAGTTTGGATGAGCAGGGCTGTAAAATCTGAGCAGCCATTTTCACATTAAATGCCATTATTACTAATTATTATCACATCATTTAGAATTCAAAGTACTTAATGCCTAATAGATCCAGATCTTCACAGGTTACACTTCTCTTGATATAACTGTATAAATGTTTTATAATTGATGATCAAGCTATCATGTATTTCTGTTACTCCACATTAAATAACTATGTAATCACATATGGGGTAAATGGTAAATGACCTGTATTTGATGAAGCAGAGATAACCAATACTGGTCCTGGGAGTTCGCTATCCAGCATGTTTAGTCATTTCCTTGATCCAACACACCCGATTCAATGGCTGAATTATCTGTTCAGCAGCTCATGAAGCTCTGCAGAAACCTGTTAATCACAGCTGATTTAAATCAGGAAAGAGCTGGATAGTGGCCCTACAGGATCAGTATTGTTTATCCCTGTGATATAACATCTTCTGGGGTTCTACAACCCCCAAGGTACTTTACAGCAATAATTTACAGAGATATTTTAGATCTGGAGTAGACTTGGAGAATTATTTTGTTTTAGCGAGTACAGAGGGTGAAAGGGCTGGTTTTATTTTGTTGGTCTAAAATAATTTATTGGGTGTTTTTGTTGAAACAAGTTTCTTATTTATGTTACTGCACTGAACATTTTAAAATATTCTTTGAGAGTTTACATATATCAGAAAAATCAGGTTTTGAATGTGTGGACAGTAGAAGTAGTGTTTATTTTGTAAAAAAAATACTCTGTTTCATAATAGAAGTTGTATTTCATCATAAAAGTCCATACTGTCTGTTCCTTGTTCCTTTTGACAGAAAAAAGCATCTTCTAAATGTTTCTGAATAAAACATCTGGAGCAATATGCCTGAATTTTCACTAGAGGGAGCTGTGTGTGTTTAGTGTCTGGGACTCCTTACTGAAGAAACTAAAAACTACAGCAAATCAGACTTGAAAACCTAATGTTTGTGAAAGTTTTTTCATAAAAATGTTTCTTCAGTTTCATCTTTTGAATAATTAGATAACTGATCATAATCCTGACATCGAAAACCTTTTTCCTATCATGAAAACAGTTTGTTACCTACAGTTTCTTTACCTTTTTGACTGGATAGTCAGGTATTCTTTATTCTGGTTCCAATGCACATAAATGGCATACATTGCATCTGTGTCCAGACTAAAGAGGAGAACTAAATTAACTGATCTGGTCATCCTGCATTTAAACAATGTCCCCCACATCTCTTCGCATCTGTGTCCCACCCTAAAGGCACATGGTCCAAAACAAAGCCCCCCCCCCCCCGTGGAATAAAACACACAAAGAGGCTGAGTCTAGCTGGTGTTAGAACAGCCATGAAGGACGGGTTAAGCCTGGTTCATGCTTCTCCGTCAGCTCCGCAAGGGACAGACACGCACGGATTGACGGAAGCGTTTTGCTCTCATACTTCTCCGTCTCCTGGAGAGTGTTGCAAAGCAATTGCCCGGCAGGACAACAGAGGGCGTAGCGCTGTCCTGTGGTATCCTGTCATGTATCTGGTCCAAGATAGTGTGTTTATATTGTGTTTTTCTATATAAGAGACTTTTTAACACAGACAAATTTGTCTCTCATCCTCCTCCACCTCTTCATGCGCTCACCACCTCTAAACCCACGTTTCCTGTCATTTCCGTCCACAAATAAAACGCTTGCTGTGCATCTTTTCACTCATCCAGTCACGGGGAATTAAATGTTCATGTTTTTAGTTTTTTCGCGAGGTATTCTTCAAGCTTCTCCGTGTCTGCTGCTAGTTATCCTCGGCTCTCTTTGCAATGGCGGCGCTGTAAACAACAGCGGCGTCCTGACCAATCACAAGCTTGCGTAATCCGTCTCGACTGATGGACGTTTAGAAAAGAGAGCTCGACTCCGTCCGTCCTTGCGGAGCTCTCCGGCAGGCCTGCAAGGACATTGCGTGTCTCCGCACTGACGCAGATGGAGAAGCATGAATCAGGCTTTAGGGTGACCTTTCAACCTCTTACATTCAGTGCATATTCTCTGGTGGTGGCAGATGACTTCTCATCCACTTAGCGCCCAATGCCTTCTCCGGATCTCAGCAAACACCTTTTCTGGCCCTGGTTTCTGGAGCTCGCCATCATGCCATGTGAATCAGGTCAAGGGTTTCCATGGGCTAAATAAAACAGGGTGCACTCGATCTAAAGAGAGGTCAGGATTGTGGCATAGGCATCCCCCAACTTTGATCAGCCCCATTGCGTCATCAAACTCAGGAGCTAGTGAAAGAAAATGACAAAATTTAGCAACTGTTTTGCTGACCTATAATTGGGTTACCTCATCAATAAATGAGTGTCTTTAGTGTTAGGGTCATAAAGGGGTTACTGGGTCAGCCATTCAGTGCAGCTAAAGAGCTATAGCTTCTAGGAACGGCCCATGGTCTGGTGCTGATTTAGGTCTGACAAAGTAGAAGCAGTAGATGTTGTGAGGACAATGGACTTGAGCATGAGCTCATCTCCTGACTCACTTTGAGGTAAAGATGGTGGTTCAGACCATTTTTGGGGGCGAGCTGCAGGAATGCAGGACTCTGAGTCCACATATTGATGTCTTGGAGTGTCAGGCCACAGGTGATATCCACTGGGGTTTCCTTTAAACACATTTCTATGTAGCAGATTCAGTCAACTCTTGGATTTCTGCCACTCCAGTATCCACAAAATCTTTATAGTGGTACAAATCTGAGCCCAACCAAGTCAAGACGGTGGCTGATTCTTACCATAAGGTCCAACAGCTGGTTGGAAGGGTCACACCTGTGCTGATGACTTTTTGGAGATTCTGCGTCTTGGGGGCGATACTTGCCTTCAGCAAGGACATCAACTTATTTTTATCTTCTGAATTTTCAGTCCTCAGATAAATCACTGTCCCTTCAGCTAGTTCTGAAGTATCACAAAACAAATACATACGTATGTGCTGCTGTAATGAATTAATTTCCCCACTGTGGGATTAATAGTGTATATTCTGTTGTATGCACCTCTCTCACTGTTAGGCCAGTCTATCTCTGTAAAACCTGCTCAGAGTTACTTTAGACTAGAGTTCAAGCTCTTCTTCCCATGTGTGCCATTGTTGTAGCAGCTGTTCTGGGAGTTCTGGATCATTCCAGTCTCTTTTCTTATCCCACTGGTGCCACACAATGACAATAGCTCAGGTGGTATAGGGCACGACATAGCCAAGTGGACCATATAGGCAGGCCCAATCTCTAGGTTCCCCATCATGGCCACTGAGCAGTCAACAGGTCTGTTTGTAGGTGAGGGTATCAAACTTCAGTTCCAGGTTAATTCACAGTTAACCTGTCCCTGGCTGAGCCATAGCTCACCGCTGCCCAACTTGATCTTTTATGGGATTTGGTTTCTAATGCTAGGATCATTGCTTGCCCACTGTCTCAGTTCAAATATCCATTCTTTCAGGAGATGGCACTATTTATCCACAAATGCCTTGGCTGCTGTTGGGGAGGGGGAGACTTTGCAAACAATTGTCAACAGAGAATAACTTGTTGATGGCAACATTCACAATCTTCCAATGACTGGTCATGTCTCTGCAATGAACATGTTGCACAGCAAAGACTGCAAGTGCTGCCAGATACACATCAGGTAGATTGTCCCTTTTCATGTCTCTCCACAGACACTGCAGTAATTGTCAGTCTTTAGTAAGGAGCCTCGCTTGATTAAGCATGTCACGGATATTACTGCTGAAGGCTATAGCATGCTCTCTAAAGTGCAGTAATACAACAGTGAAGGGCCAAGCACAGGACCTGGGTGGGGTATACCAAGCCTCTGTTGTCTCAAATTGATGAGGCATGAGTCTCACCATATAACCAGCTTCTACCAAATTGTCTAATTCTTTTGATGGGCAGTAGCTCATTCTGCATTTTGTCTAATCTCCTTTCTGCGCCTTTGAGTTGTGGCAGCATGGCCTCTTGAGTGGCTCTGAGTTGGGGGATGTTCTTAATTTGAAGAAGAGGAGTGTCATAGTGCTTAGTGCCATCGAAATCTACTCTGATGTCTATTCTTGAAGGAACTTTATGGCCTGTTTGTCCTGCTGTAATCTTACTGCCAATTTATTACTTCCGTAGGAAAGCACATCCATCTGCCACAACTTTTCCATGCATGAGCAGTTTGGAAGATGAAGGTAGTAGGTGTAAGCACAGTTGGCTGCATTGGGACTGAACTTAATGGCTTGAGCTGGTCCCTGTATATCCACCCAAGACATGTCTTAACAACTGCTGACATCCTGGTGGACCCAGCCTGACTGGCTCAATAGGAGTTATAAGGTGGGAGTAATCCGCCTGTCTGACAGTGAAGATCTAGCAAACATTTTTGCGATAACTTGGAGCCACAACTGCTTGGCTGCGGAATGAAGACGTTTAGTCCATTGAGATCCATCTTCTAGGCCTGCATATGTCTCTAGGGACTTGTCACATGTCCCGGGAAAGCTTTACTGATCTTAAACAATACTTTGCAGTTTTAAACTTGGCAGTCATACAGAATCCTATTATTTGTCCCTACAAAACAGCTCTCAGCTGGGGTTGAAACTGGTGGATGCTTCATCACTTTGGGCCTTTCATCGTCTCATACAGAACTAACAAGTGCCTCCAGCTGCATGTCTTCCATGGAGCTCTGAGCATGCACTTTTCAGCTTGCATTTAAATTAAAAACATGTTCTCCTATCTAGTTAGACCAAATAAATGATGCTTAGACCTGTTTTATTTTTAGATATTTAATTTTTTTTAATGAACAAAGACTAGAGTTCAAGCTCTTCTGCCAACAGTTCTTTTAGTTTTTTTTAAAAACACAAAGAAGACACAAAGACTCCTCGTCTTTGTTTACAATTTCTTCCAGGGTAGTGCTGCCCCCCTATCTGGCCACGCTCCTGAACAGAAATTCCCCATCACGCGCTCTGCGCTCCTCTGACCTGGCCTGCTCGCTGTCCCTCGTTCTCGGTGTCGTACTCGTGGGGACCGGGCTTTCTCAGTCCTAGCCCAGTCACTCTGGAACCAGTTGCAACCCTCAGTCAGGTTATCCCCATCTCTGCCAGCCTTTAAGTGACGCCTAAAAACCCACCTCCTCTGCTTGGCATTCCCTGAATGTGTTTGAGTTAGGCCTTCATTTATGATGATTCTAATTCTCTGCTTTCATTGGTCTCTTTATGTTTTATGTTATCCATTTGTTTTCTGCTTTAATATTTTTACCTGTTTTTCTCCTGTACCATGTTCAGCGCCTTGGGCTTACCGACAGGGTCGTGGAAGGCACTTTATAAATAAAGCTTTGATTGATTGACAAACCAAGAAAGCTAAAACATGAGCGAAAAATGAGTTAAAAGGTGACCAGCTTTAATAAAAAGTCAATTTTGTAGCATCAAGATATTTAATAGAATTTATATGTGCAAAAGAATCAATGTACAACAGAGTATTCACAATTCTTTACCTAGAAACACATTGGAGCCATTTAATTGGATCATGAGCTTCAAAAATGAAAATACAAATTTAACATAAATTTAGATAATTTTAAATTTAACCTGACCTGCTACTGCAGTTAATATCTGCACAGAATCAAAGAGACATGAATCAAATATTGAACATAAATCTGTAGGAAACATCTATGGGTTTAAATAAACTTGATTTTGTTTCAAATTGTAATAAAACTGCTGGAAAGAAGCAGGCAGTGGGTGTCATGGGTATTCCTAAAGGTGTGTATCACAGGAAAAACCACTTTAAATTATTATTTCTGATTTAAATTGGTCAATCTGAGTTTTTCATGCAGGCTGAAAATCAAAATAGTCTTCCAACTCTATCTCCTGCATTAGCTTCTGATATATAGACGATGAAAGTCTAAGACAGGCTGTCTCCCCAGCCTTCATTAGTATCTCCAGGAGTGATTAGTAAATCAGCTGTGTTGATGATCTAAAACATGCAAACGTCCTGGAACCAGACTGCAGTGCCAGGTATGTTAGCTCTATTTTTTCCAAGCCCCAACAGAGCGGCCCACCAGTCTGAAGTTGCAAGTGGAATATTCTGGCCACAGAAATCATGCAGTCGCACAAATATCAAACATGTTTGATATTCTGCTCATCCCTCATATTGTTGAAGCAGCACTATAACCCAAATGTACCAGAACCGCTCACACAGCACATGCATCAACATGGATGCTCAGGTATTTCTGAGTCAACACACATTGGTTCTTTTGATTTTTACCCTTTGCTCTGCATACAATAACAAGGGTTGCCAATAAAGCATGTTTGCTCTGTTTGTCAATTAAAACAGATCGCAAAACATTTTGTCTTCCTTCTCCAACCCCCCATAAACGCCGGCGTGTCCTACGGCAAGCCTGAAGGACCACAGATGGTCTCCGGGGCTTAGGTCCGACATGTTGTTGCCACACGTACAGAGTGAGAACATGGCTCATGAGCTTCGCTCTGTGAGGAGGTCGTAGTTTGAGATGGAGCTGAACGCTACGAGCCAAAAAGTCACAGTGTACACCCGGCTTTACACCGCCTGTTCCAAACACGTAAAATACCATGATACATTATGCTCAAATTGCAAAAGGTTCATCAAAAGGTATAGTTTTGGATCGCCCTCCAGAGTCCAGACCTTAACCCCGGAGAGATTCTTTATGTGCTGCAGAATCTGCCACAATACCCACGCACACAATAATTTTGTGACACTGCAGAAGATCACCCAAACAGCCACATCACATTCATCTAACTTCTGCAGGTAAAAGTTTTCAGCTGTAAAAGTTGCGACGTTTCAGATTTATGCTTACATCTTCCTCGTATGTTTGTTCATGTGAGGCACCACCAACACACTGGTGGTACTTCAGCTCCGTGTACCAAGCAAAGCGTTTCTTACACTCGTCGCAGCTGTACTTCCTCTCTGCGTAGTGGACAGCTATGTGAGACTGCATGGTTGCCTTTTTTGAAAATTTTTTATCACAAATCGAGCAGCTGAACGGCTTCTCGCCTGTGTGAATTCTCATGTGAACCTTCAGGGTTGAACTAGAGGTTAGTTTGCGACCACAAACCGAACACAAATATTCTGTGTGCTGTTTCATGTGAATCTTCAAATGGGAACTGTAGCGAAACACTTTATTACATTGAGTGCAGCCATAAGGTTTTAAATCAGTTACGTATTTTGCTCCAATTTCTGTTGCTTCTTGTCCTGATGATTTCACATTTGATTGTGGTTTCCTAATTTCTTTCCAAAAGTCGCTGTCAACGCTGTCGTCGCTCTCAGGCTGGAGGGACGCAGCGGCCTTATTCCTTCCAGAATCACTTTCAGAGTTAGAACCTGACCGATGTTTCCCATTTGGTTTCCAAAAGTCGCTGTCATCGGTGTCTGGGTCAGAAAACATCTTTTCGTTTTCCTCTGGATCTGCCCCTCCAAAAGAGTTTTTACTCTCTTCGTTGTGACAGTGACGAGGCTGTAAAGACTGAGGTTTCTCCTCATCTTCTTCAGTTTTCACCAGGACAGAACTGAATGGAAACTTGGTGATCTCAGCCTCCTCCTCTTCTTCTTTTATCTGTGGAGGGTTCGGATCTTCAAGCTTCACCTCTTCTTTATTAAAAACTGGTTCCTGATTCTCTTTGACTGTAAAAAATTCTAAGTCTTCCTTAGCTTCCTCAGGTTTTGTGGACTCTGTCCACAAATCACCTTCTTCAGCTTTGAAGCACGCTGAAGCCTCCACACTTCTCTCTTGACTATCTGCTTCAGTATTTGGATGTTTGGTTGGCTCTAACCCTTCAAAATCATCTCCATCAGCTGATGATTCCATGTGTTCATTCTCCTCCCTATTCTCCTCAGTCTGGCCCCGAGAAAGCTCCAATGAGTGATGAACAACTTTATGTTTAGACAAAAGATAATCAGTACAAAATTCAGCACCACAAGGTCTGCAGCGGAAAACCTTTTTCCTTTTCATATGGACTTCCATGTGTTTGGTCAGGTGTCTCCTCCATGCAAAGTCCTTCCCACAAACATGGCAGGTAAACTGTGTTTGTCTGGTGTGGATCCTCATGTGCTGAATTAACGTCTCTTTGTCGCTACAACTGGTGCTGCAAACTGAACAGCTGAACAAGCTTCCCTTTGTGTGAATTCTCAGATGAAGATTTAAGTCTTCAGATTTTGAAAATCTTTCATCACACTGAGAGCAGCTGAGCAGCTCTTTGTCATTTATCTGTTCATCAGTTTGGATCTGATGATCCTGAGGAGACTCACTAGAGCACAAGTGACTTTTGAGCTCAAACTCAGAAGTGAATGGATCTTTACAGATAACACAGCTGAGTAGCTGCTCTCCTGTGTGGTCAGAAAGGTGTCGTGTCAGAAGTCCTCCTGTTGAAAATTCTGATCCACAGAAAAAACAGCTTATTTTTTTCATGTCAGCATGACCTCCTGAAGCACCGACTTCTTTAACTTGACTGTTTACATGTGACTGCTGTGACATTCTGTGGTTACAAAATTCAGCTGGAATGCCTCTGAGGGTCCATTTCTTTCTTTCTTTTCATCAAAAACACTTTCTAATTCCTCCGGTTCCTGTGATGTATCACTATATCCAGAGTGACAAGTTTTTTTCAGGGCCATCACTTACAGATTTAAAGCTATTTGCATTGTTGTGACACCTGTTGTCATGTTGGTCTTCTGACACAAGCCGTTTCCTCCAACAGCTTCAGGATGGCTGAAAAACAGAATACATGTGAAAAAATTAAGCATTTATGTTTAGTATAGTGTCTATTCATAATAAATTAGAATAAACCTTCTGGAGGAACGAATGAAGCAGCTAGAACACCCAGACTGGTGAAAATAAAGATCCACCAACATGTGGGAAAAGTGTCAAGAGTTTCTTATTATTTTAAGGTCTACTTGTGAACATCTGATGAGCGTAATGAGGGAAAAAGTCACGGTAAGTAACCGTCCATCTGAAGCATGTTTAGAAGCTAAGGAAGTTGGGAAACCCATACGTGTCTAAGGGGAAACCCCAAGGCAAGTTGCGCAGTCATACTGTAAATGTCAAATTATACTTTACGTAAATTAACATAGGCTAAAAGTAATCAAGCAACAGCTAACACGCAGTGTTTGATTTGGTTAGCTAACACTGTTGTTTCACACTAACAAGACCGCATGTCAATAAATAAAAATAAAAAATAAACAAAAAATAATAATTGAACTCACCAACCCTACTTCTAGTTTTTCATGACATGGCTTCATTTAAAACCAATAAAACTGACTAATTTACTCCAAACGGCTTGCTTGATACCCTTTTACACTCTAATGTTGCCGGATGTCACGTGCAAAAAAACTGCTTCCGGAGGAGATTTTCAGAATAAAAACTTCGTCATATCTAAAGTCAGATGTTTGTAACAGCAGGCATTTGTACTTTTAAAGCACTTTTAAGAAAACTTATACTCACTTTTACATGCTGACTGGATAGCTCTGCCAACAGTATAATTTTAGCAATCACTGATCCTACTGTGAGCAGTTGTCGCTATTTGTCCAGTATAAGGAAACACTGGTTGAAGTGTTTGTGTGGTTACTCTTGTGTGGAATAGTTTATAGTAAGTTTTTAAATTAAATTTAGATTTTAATTCAATTTTATGCTGTTATCTTTTATTTCTATTTATCTATTTTGTTTCAATAATTCTTTTTGATGATCTGTTGTTTTATATATATTTTATCTGGACCTAAGAGTCTGTCAATAAAGATTATCTATCTATCTATCTATCTATCTATCTATCTATCTATCTATCTATCTATCTATCTATCTATCTATCTATCTATCTATCTATCTATCTATCTATCTATCTATCTATCTATCTATCTATCTATCTATCTATCTATAACGGTAAAGCGGGTAACACTATTTCTTTTTCTTTTTAATAACCACGTGAATATTGGTGTATTACATCACTATTAACTGATTTTTTTCTTTCTTTCTTTTTTTTAGGTATCAATGTTTTTTTATTTAGTAAATTTACAAACAAACATAGCACTTTGACAATGTTAAGTCCAAAACTTAAATTCAAAAGGAGCAGTTAATACAACATTTGAAAATATCCAGTAAAAAAACAACAAGAGACAAAAGAACATGAAGAACAAGTAGAGTACAACTTTCAATGAGGGTACAGCATATATCATATGGAAGTAGGAAATCACTTTGGAAGTTCAGCTAACATGTTACATAGATTTTCGCTGTATTTGTTGAGGTGTTTCAGGGATTTTAAATTTAATTGAAATTCTATTAAAAAACATTGAAGACAGGGGATGATTGTAAAATTCGTTGTTTATGGATACAAAATTTGGCTAAACGGTGGATGATATTATAGCAGAGTTCTTTATCTTTATTATTGAATATAATTCCAAATATTATCATATCTTTAGTGATGTGAACTGGGAGGGGTATTTTAGTTTTGATCCACACCTCTAGCTTTTTCCAGAACAATTGTGTTTTCTGAAATTCATAAAATATATGATCCATAGTTTCTATGTGATTTTCACAAAAAGAGCAGTTGTTGCTATCAATATTAAAATGAGCTCTTAATAACTCTTTTGAAGGATAGATTGCATTCATTATTTTAAAGTTGGTTTCTTTAGCTTCATGTGGTATAGGTAATTTTAGGTAGCTAGTTCTTATTTTCTCAACAGATATTTTATCAAATTTGTAAATTATGTTATTTTTGTTTGTTTTTCCAGGAAAAAGAGATTAATTTAAGGCTGATCTTATTGTAAGATTGTTGCATTTTCTGTCAGTTAACAGAAGACCTTTAATAGATAAGATAGGAAGGGTTGGAATAGAACATTGATGTTTTAGATATTCTCGGGCTTGGATGATAAACTGTTTTGGAAGTGCATTATGTAATCTGTTAAAGTCAAGTTCAGAAGCCTTAAAATTGTATCTTCTGCAGAGATTGTCATAATTCAAGAGCTGACCATCTACATCCATTAAGTGTATAATAGACCATATATTGTTATCTAACCAATCTTTATAGAATAGTGATTTGTTTTGGTGCAATATAAATTGATTGTTCCAAATGATTATAGAGTGTGGAGTAGTTGTGTACATATATCATTTTTCAATACAATAAAATTGAAAGTTTAATGAGGAGTTTGTTTATATTGTAGTCAGTTAGAAGAAGATTTTTTAAGCCACCAATTTTGTTAAAGGTGTAATTGGGGATACTATACCAAAAGGCGTGTGGGTGATTTAACCAAAATTTTAACCAGTTAATCTTTAGGGTGCCATTAAGACATTCAAAGTCAATGACCTTTAAACCTCCATCTTTTATTTCTTTAGTCATATGAGCCTTTTTAAGGTAGTGTGGTTTGTTTCTCCAAATAAAGTTAAAGTTTGTTTGATTTATTTTTTTAATTAGGTAGTTTGGTAAGGCAAGGTTACAGGTTGGGTAAACTAATCTTGATAAACAGTCCATTTTGGTGAGATAGATATGACCTAGAATAGAAAGATCACGTTGGAGTCACAGGTTAAGTTTAGAATTTCCTTCTTTAAGTTTATATTCAAAGTTTAAGACTGAATTTGTCACGAACTCCTCCCGCTGACTTCATTTCCCAGCATTCTCGCCACCACTTCCCATCATTCTGCCACCAACGTGGCGGCTGACGTCATCACGCCGACACTACTTAAGGAAGTGCCGGCATTTCATTCATTACTCAGTCATCGTTTCTACCAGACTTTGTATCGAGTTCTCAGGCTTACCAGCCTTCAAACCTAACCCAAAGACTTATCCACGCTGTTTACTATTAGTAAGCCAGCGACCTTATCCTCCGGAACTGTTACTCAGTCTCGGCTCTCTTCCCGAGCGCTGTGCTGCCGTTCCCAGAACAAAGCTGCGTGCTCTGTCAAACCAAACGCCAGCCACTCCGCGTCTGGGTCACACAGTTACGCCACAATCCGCTACGCTTCAGCTCAGCCGTGAAACCTGACAGGATGACTGAGTCCAAAGTTGACCCAGCGGAGTTCACTCATCTGCGTGTCGAAGTGGCACAACTACGCACGACTCTGGATCAGCGTACGGCAGAAATGAACCAGCTCCGTGCCGTAACTGATCGCCAAGCCACAAAGCTCAAGTCACTCAGCGAGCTAGTTCTCCAGCTTTCCACTGCTCTGCAACGACAGACCGCAGCCGTCACCGACAGGATGGAACCACGCCTCAGCCTTCCAGATAAGTGGGAAGGAACCAGGGGGTCCCCGGAGGGCATGCTGGCGACCCTGGCAATGACTTTTGAGTGCCAGCCGGCACGCTACCCCACTTCCTGCTCTTGTGTCGCTCTGCTGACCTCACTGCTGACGGGTCGAGCCGGTGAATGGGCGGCGGCTCTTTATAATCAAAAATCTCCTGCCTGCAATGACTATGAGACTTCTGTGAAGGAGATGAAAAAGACATTTGTACATCCCAGCAGCAAGGTCTTGGACGAGACTCGGCTGCTTCAGCTCTGTCAGGGCTCCCAGACGGTGGCTCATTACACCTCTCGCTTCTGGACGACAGCCGCTCGGTTGACGTGGGATGACGCCGCTCTAAAGGCTGTTTATCTGGAGGGGTTGTCACCTAGAATCCGGGAGGGCATGATCGGGCACGAGGCCCCAACCTCACTGGACCTGGCAGTGGATCTGGCTCTCCAACTGGACCGCTGCATCCTGAACAGGCCGAGCACCATGTCAGCCCCCGTACACACCAGAACGTCACCCCGTCGTCCGGCTCACCAACCGACGGAGGAGCCGATGCAGCTCGGACATCTCCCCCCTGAGGAACGGGCACGGCGCTGTCAGGAGGGACGATGCGCTTACTGTGGGGAGATGGGTCACCACCGTGGCACGTGCCCAAAACAACCGGGAAACGGTCCCTCCGGGTCGGAGTAGGGGCTGTCCCGCCCGGAGTCTCCACTTTTCCGGCTCCACACCGAACCACTCTCCCGGTCTCCCTCCACCTGGACCAAGGCCCGACCAGACTGGAGGCTCTTTTAGACACTGGGGCTGCGGAGTGTTTTATCGATCACGGACTAGTTACTCAGCTCAAGATACCCCTCACTGCTCTCGACCAACCCATTCCTGTGACCTCTGTGGACGGCTGACCCATCATGCCGTACCCTCTCACCCACCGAACCCAGGGTCTCCACATGACTATTGACCAACACCTGGAGACCCTCCACTTCCTGGTCATCCAGGCTCCGGCTACACCACTCATCCTGGGTCACTCCTGGTTCTGCTGTCATGAGCCTCACATCTCCTGGTTCACCAGTAAGGTCCTGGCCTGGGGCACGGGCTGCCAGAACCACCGGGGCTCCCCTACACCTCGGACTGGAGCAGCTCCTCCCAAAGACGTAGACCTGACGCTCGTCCCTCCTCAATACCACGACCTCGCTCAGGTCTTCGTTAAAGAACCCGATACCAGGCTACCTCCTCATCGACCCTAGGACCTGGAGATCAGGCTCCAGCCCCCCCTCGGGGTCGCCTGTTCTCCCTCTCTCCGGCGGAGACCCGGGCAATGGACAATTATATAACTGTTGCCCTCCAGAAGGGATTCATCCGTCCCTCAACATCCCCCGGGGCCGCGGGGTTTTTCTTTGTAAAGAAGGAGGGGGATCTCCGGCCCTGTATTGACTATCGAGGGTTAAAGAAAATAACGATCCGGGACCGTCACCCTCTCCCTCTCATGGACACCGCCCTGGACGCCATCACACAAGCAGCTGTATTCACTAAACTGGACCTGCGCAGCGCTTACAACCTCATCCGCATTAAGGAAGGTGAGGAGTGGAAGACCGCCTTCATCACGCCCACTGGCCACTATGAATATTTGGTGATGCCTTTTGGCCTCTGCAACAGCCCCGCCGTCTTCCAGCGGTTCAATACGGATGTGCTAAGAGACATGTTGGGCCGCTGGGTCTTTGTTTATCTAGATGACATCCTCATCTACTCCCGCACGGCCGAAGAGCACATCCGGCATGTTCGAGCTGTTCTGTCCCGCCTCCTGGACCATGGACTGTACTGCAAACTGGAGAAGTGTGCATTTCACCAGGAGTCCACCTCCTTCCTGGATTTTACCATCTCCTCCCGGGGCCTGAAGATGGACCCTCAGAAGGTTCAGGCAGTAGCTCAGTGGCCTCTACCCACGACCCTGAAGCAGTTGCAAAGCTTCCTGGGTTTCTCGAACTTTAATCAAAGGTTTATACGCAGCTTCAGTTCCCTCGCAGCACCTCTGACCTCACTCACCAAAGCCACCAACCAGCCTCACCCTTTTCGCCATACTCCAGAGGCTGTCCGGGCTTTCCATGAGCTGGTCGGACGTTTTAATAAAGAACCCATCCTCCTCCACCCGGACCAGACCCGGCCCGTCGTCGTGGAGGTGGACGCCTCTGATGTAGGAGCAGGGGCCGTCCTCTCGCAACGGGGTCCAGACTCTAAGCTCCACCCATGTGCCTACTTCTCCCAGAAGTTTTCCCCCACACAGCAGAACTATGGGGTCGGCGACAGAGAACTGCTGGCTATAAAATGGGCTCTGGAGGAATGGCGGCAGTGGCTCTTGGGGACCACAGATCCCTTTCTGATCTGGACCGACCACCAGAATCTCATTCATCTACAGACTGCCCGCCAACTCAACCCTCGTCAAGCTCGGTGGGCCCTCTTTTTCGAGCCATACAACTTTCATATCGCCTACCGGCCCGGATCCAAGAACCTCAAGGCGGATGCTCTCTCTCGGCTTTTCGCACCAGAGTCAAGCCCCCCGGAGCCTCTGACCATTCTGCCGACTCAATACTTCCTGGCCTCCCTCCAATGGCTGTTGGAGCAGTCCATACGGGCCACACTTCCAGGCGATCTGGCGCCTCCAGAGACTCCACCAAACCGCCTCTACGTTCCCGCCTCCTGCCGACAAGAGGCACTCACGTGGGGGCATTGTTCACGGCTCGCAGGACATCAAGGACAAGCCCGTACCCTCCAGTTCCTCCGTCGGGCTCTCTGGTGGCCGTCCATGAGGAAGGATGTCCACGAGTTCACCGCTGCATGTGATGTGTGTGCTCGATCCAAGTCATCTAACCGACCCGGCGCTGGAGATTTACAACCTCTCCCTGTGCCCAAGCGGCCATGGTCACACATCGGGCTAGATTTTGTCACGGGACTGCCAGTTGACGACCACCTGGACACCATACTGACCATCACGGACCGTTTCTCCAAGGCCGTGCACTTGGTGGCCCTGGCCGGTCTCCCCACTGCCAAGAGGACGGCCGAACTACTCCTCGAACAGGTGGTGTGGCTCCATGGTTTCCCCCAGGACATGGTTTCCAACCCGGGACCCCAGTTCGTCTCACGCTTCTAAAAAGCGTTCTGTCGCCTGGTCGGCGCTTCCACCAGCCTGTCCCCTGGGTACCATCCGCAGACTAACAGTCAGACAGAGAGGGCGAACCAGCAGCTTGGACGCTACTTGCGCTGCTTCGCTTCATCCCAGCCAACCACCTGGCCCCGCTTCCTCCTGTGGGCGGAGCTGTCACACAACATCCAGACCTCCTCTGCCACGAGTCTGTCTCCCTTCGAGACCTGTTATGGGTACCAGCCTTCTCTGTTCGACCATCAGGTGCCCGAGGTGGAGGTCCCTGCTGCCCAGACGCTGGTCTGCCGCTGTCGGCTCGCCTGGATCCGGGCCCGTGCGGCCATCACCCAGACCAACACGGAGTATGCCCGTCGTCATCGCCGCCGCCACCGGCCTGGCCCCGTCTTCCGGTCTGGTGACCAGGTTTGGCTCTCCTCCGCTAATCTGAGGATGCCGGCTGGCTCCCGGAAGCTCACTCCTCGCTTCCTGGGTCCGTTCCCTGTCCTCAGGGTCATCAACCCGGTCACTTACCGTCTGCGCCTCCCGGCTGCTCTCCGGATCCACCTGGTCTTTCATGTCTCCCAGCTGAAGCCAGTGGTCTCCTCTCCCCTCCACCCTCCGACAACCCGGGTGCCTCCGCCCCACTGTGTGGAGGAGGATCGCATCTACACGATCCGCAAGGTTCTGGACGCTCGCCGCCGGGGATGTGGTTGGCAGTACCTCGTGGACTGGGAGGGGTACGGCCCGGAGGAGCGCTCTTGGGAGCCCACGAGCTCGTTTGTCGACCCTACCCTGCTTTCTGACTTCTGGGCCCGGCGTCCTGGGACTTCGGGAGCCATCCCTCGGGGGGGAGGGGGGGCCCTGTCACAAACTCCTCCCGCTGACTTCATTTCCCAGCATTCTTGCCACCACTTCCCATCATTTCTGCCACGAACGTGGCTGCTGACGTCATCACGCCGACACTATATAAGGAAGTGCCGGCATTTCATTCATTACTCAGTCATCGTTTCTACCAGACTTTGTATCGTGTTCTCAGGCTTACCAGCCTTCAAACCTAACCCAAAGACTTATCCACGCTGTTTACTATTAGTAAGCCAGCTACCTTACCCTCCGGAACTGCTACTCAGTCTCGGCTCTCTCTCCAAGCGCTGTCGCCGCTCCCAGAGTAAAGCTGCGTGCTCTGTTCAACCCAACGCTAGCCACTAACGCCACATTCCATCTCCGCTACGCTTCAGCTCAGCCTTGAAACCTGACAGAAAGAGGCTTCCTTGGTAGAAACACTTTCTCCAAATTCTTCCAAACACTGTTTTGTTGCCTTTAAAGAAGTGGGATTTTGCACCAAACACAGAACAACACTCTGGCATATTCAACAGCATTTAAGAATGAATGAATGTCCTCCAATGTCCAAAAGCTGTTACTGCACTAGTTCTTTTTAGCGATCTAGAAGAGAATATTTTAGCCTCCTGATTTAAATAAAACTTTAAAAGAATCTTATTCTTTTAAAAATCATTTTGGGGAAACTATTATTATGAAGGAAAAGTAGAAGGAGAAGCTATTTTTTTTTCTGTTTCATGAGCTAACACCAGAAAAAAAGTCCTCAGAATATAAAACTGTATTTTCACAAATGCTAATGATGTGACATACAAATATACAGGAGCTAACTTTTAATGTCAGTCTTTGTCATGTGCTTTTTTCATTTCCAATTTTCCATTCAAAAACTTTCCTTCTTTTGCTGTTTTAAATCAAATTAAAGAGATTCAGAGATTTTAATGCGACATGCAACCGTGCAAAAACCTTCATTATTGATCAAAAAAGAAAACCTATCAATTTTAGATAGGTGTTAATGTGATTTCCAAACAAATTGGCATCAGCAGTACAAGTGAGCGTTTATTCAGGTGGAAACATTATGTATAGACTTTTCAGGAATGGATGTCCAAAAGCTCTCTATATTTATACCTGTAATTTGAAAATTTCAGGTTCTTTGTCATTGCAAAAGGAAAAACTACAATGGCACTGTAAAACCAAGCTCTAAAACAGCAATAAATACCAACTACACAGTGAATATATGCTTCTTGTCAAATGTGTTCATTTTATTCCTTGACAAGGTTTTTTTAGTGTATTAAAATGGACTAAGAACTTCATCACTGATGTTTTGGGTGGTTATCTCAGTGGCTTGGCTTGGCTTGGAGCTCTTATTCTGAAGGCGTAACGGAACAATATTTGTACGTCAGCGGAAGTGTGTTTTCCTGCTGAAGCAGTCGTACTTGTTCCGTAGTTGTTAACAGTATTTTCTTTGAGTTATTGGAACCCGTGTGTTATATAGACCTACAAAAGCGGACTTTGTAATGTTTGCTTTTTATTAAAACTCGCTCTGATAAATATTTGACAAGCTGCTGGTGTTAGCTTATTATGCTAGCTGAAAGGGAACCGAAGTGAGTCACAGCGACACTGTTAATGAATGTTTATAATGAAGTTTAATGACATTTTCTGTGGGAACTATGAGTAAAGATGCTGAGAGTGTTACAGAAAAAACAAATTATGGGGCAAGAACCGGACTGTCGAACAGGAAAGAAGCTTTTTTCTCCACTTGGAGGTAAAATATTGCCAAGTATTCAGTAGTCTGGATTCTATCGAACAATAAAACCGTCTTTCCTATAACATATATGCATGTTTCATTTCCGGCAGATGTCCAGCAGCTATTTGTGGTCAAAGAGGAGCAGCAGGACAGGAGTCCCAGTCTGAACCAGGAGGACCAAAAGCTGCCACAGATTAAAGAAGAACAGGAAGAGGCTGATATCACAGAGTGTATGTTCAGCCCTGTCCAGGTGAAGGAGGAGGATGACGCAGAGATGCCTCAGTCTTCACGGCTCCTTCACAACAGGACTGGGGAAAACAACTACTTTAGGGGACCAGCTCTAGACCAGTGTTCAGACTCGGATCCTGAAGATAAAACTTCTTCAGAGACGGATGTCAGTGACGGGAAATGGGAGGAAAGAAGTGAACCTGCCTCATGTTTAAACTCCGCAGAAACTAACAAAGGATCTGATACAAAACACAGCAGTGAGAAGAAGCTATACAAATGCACTGAATGCAGTAAAACATTCAAACGGAGACAGTATCTGTTACAACACATCAGAATCCACACAGGAGAAAAACCTTTCATCTGCTCTTTCTGTGATGCAGCTTTTACATGGAAACACGTCTTAGAGAACCACGTGAGAATCCACACTGGCGAGAAACCGTTCAGTTGCTCCATCTGCGGTCTGTGTTTCAAATCCAAACAGACGCTTCAGTGTCACAAACCATGTTACAGTGAAAAAAAGCCTTTTAGCTGCAACATCTGTGAGGCAGTGTTTAGATGGAGGTTTTCTTTAGTGAAGCACATGAGAGTCCACTCGGGTGAAAAACCTTTCAGCTGCTCTGTTTGTGGTCGGAGCTTTAGACACAAGGAGAGTTTAAATAGTCACAAAAGATGTCACACTGGAGAAAAACCTTACATGTGCTCTGACTGTAAAGCCACTTTTAAATGGTGCACCAGTTTAATGCGACACAAAAAAACCCACACAGGAGAAAAACCTTTCAGTTGTTCTGTCTGTGATGCTGATTTTGTAAACAAACGTGAGTTGGTCAAGCACACAAGACAACACAAGTGATGGTAGATACAGATTTTGCAGCACATGAATCTATTTTTTGGATGTTCTGATGAGCTGACTTCATTACCTTTGAAGTTGTGAAAAGCTGATGATGGACTTTGGAGTTCCATATGTCTCTGGTTTTTGTGTTTTATTAAAAAAAGCCTTACTTTGCAAATCAACGTGTTGGAATTTTTTTTCTTTCATAATGTATAATAAAGAAAAAAGCATATTTTTATTAGACTTTTTGAAAGTGTAAGTATTTGTCAAATATATGAGAAGACTACTAAATATAAGTTTATTATGACTTGTAATCAAGTCTGTTTTTTGTCAAAATATTTTTTCTAATATATGAATTTAGAATAGGAGCAGTCCAAAAGAGTAACAATTTAATTTTATTCTGTTTTCTTTGTAACCAAAAACAAAACCCATCTGGTTCTTTTTATGCTTTAAAAATCAAGCGAAAGAACATTTGATGAACAGTATTCCTGGATATAACGTAATTATTTATATTACAAAAAACTGCCAAAATAGAGATATTTGTGATAAACTAAACCTATTCTTAACTAATTTTACCAGTAAAAAATGATAAATTGTAACAATATAATAATGTAAACAAAAGATTTCCTGATTGTTCGGGTGAGCATGAGCAACATCATTCCTGTTGCTGATGCATGTCAAACATGTTCCTAGTACATTGTTACAATGAGTCATTCACATGTGGCAAATATTCATTGGGGAAGTAAAAACAAAAATAACGAAAAGGGTTTAGGAACATTTCATTGAAACATGGTGGAGGGATGGATTTTCATTCAGATAATCTTACAAAAATAACGTGTTTACTGCACATCTTGGAAAATGCATCCGATTTTCAAAGCATTTGTGGATTTTTTTTCTATGTTCTATAACATATCTAAAATGAGTTTTGTGAAGTTGTTTCCTGTGGGGACTTTTATTTTGAAGGCCTATGGGAGCTTTAGGCGGAAGTTGTTTCCTTTTAGCAGCGACTGAAGCAGACTTGCATCTTTCTTTCTTTGTTCGTTGACTCCTTCATGAGCGACTTATCGGAGTCTGACTGACAGCAAACGTGCCCGTGTGGGCTTTGCGTCATTCATGTTCGTTAAAGCTTGTTTTGATGAAAACTGAAGCTACAGAGTAAGTGACGTTAGTTTAGCCTCGCGCTGGCAATCACAAAGCTGACAGTAAGTGACGCGTTATCAGAGCAGGTTGTTTCTGACAGTTACAGAAAAAACTGCTGTTGCCATCGTGTTGAGATGTTGAGAGTGTTGGAGAAAGGTCAACAACCTTTGGAAGAACCAGACTGTCTAACTGGAGAGGAGCTGCACCTTAAAGGTGACATGGTTTTGTAATCAATTAACATCCTGTCAAAAGTGGTTTAATAAGAACTATTAAAATGTTTAAAGTCGCTGATAATATAAAAATAAAATGGAACATGGGTCTTATGACGTCATGCCTGACCCAAGATGCTTTTCTTGCTTGTCTCGTGACGTTTATACTACTTGGACATGGAAGAATTAACCTAACATAAACATGTTGTAGTGGTGGATTTGGTTGGTTTTTGATCAACTGAAATACAAGTGTGAAAAATAAAATTACTGGTTGCAAACATTAAAGAGACAATGTGTAGATTTTACCATTAATCTCTGGAATTATCCATCAAAATGTTGAAAATGAACGAAATGATGCACAGTAGTTGAACAATTCTGGCAGCTTCACAACAGATAACCATAAAAATCTGGTCTAAAATACATGGGAGTGGGTCTAAGCCAGGCTCTGGACTCCAGACGCCATGTTTCCTGCTACAGGAGCTCATGAGGACATAATACATTTACTGATTTGTAACAAGCGATCACAAAACTTTACATTCATAAACGTTGTTTTACACATTTACCTCTTCACTCGTTGCCAGTGATGAAAGGGCCTGTTGTGCTTTTCATTATGCTTGATCCTAACGGCCATCCATTGATAAGGTCTTACTCGAACACAAAAATACAACTTGCTTGCAATGATTTAGGTATGCACTGCCCCCTATCGCCGGGGAAAATACACACCATCACTTCAAAGACAAGTACAATAGAGACCTCATTTGAGTTAGTAGATTGTTCTAAAGTTTCTGAGTTGCTGCTTGTATAAAACATCAGATATTTGCTTGATTAACGCAAAGAATTAACATATACTTGATTGTCTATTGATGTTTTTGTCCCAGACTTTTTAAATGCAACATAAGAAACATTTTGTACTTTTGTATTTCTCATTATTCGTGGCATTTAATTGGTTTCACATAACCTCTGTGTCCTGCAGACGTCCAGCAATTGTTGGTGATAAAAGAGGAGTTTCCTCTTGAGCCACGGGTTTGGAATCCCAGCTGTGACCAGGAGGACCAAAAGCCCCCACAGATTAAGGAAGAGCAAGAGGAGGCTGATATCATAGAGTTTACTTTCAGTCCTGAAACTGTGAAGAATGAAGACGATGAGGAGAAACCTTGGTCATCAGAGCCTGATCGCAGTCGGAATGAAGAGAACAGAGACTCTCTGGGGCCAGAATCAGATCCCGAAGCCAAAAATTCAGCCACTTCAGAGACGGACATAAGCGATAGAGCCTGGGAGGAGAGGCATAACCCTCCGTCAGGTTTAAACTCTGCAGAAGTTAAGGATGTGTCTGTTGGTGGAGCACGCGATGATGGCGATAAAACGTTAAACCGCTGCAGCGAATGCGGCAAGACATTCAAACGCAGGCAGTACCTCTTACAGCACAACAGAATCCACACAGGTGGAAAACCTTTCATCTGCTCCGTCTGCAACACGGCTTTCACGTGGAAGCACATCTTAGTGCAACACATGAGAGTCCACACAGGAGAGAAACCATTCAGCTGCTCCGTCTGCAGTCAAACCTTCGGGAGGAAGGAAAGTTTAACTCGTCACATGAGACATCACTCTGAGGAGAAACCCTTCAGCTGCTTCGTCTGCAGTCAAATCTTCGGGAGGAAGGAAAGTTTAACTCGTCACATGAGACATCACTCTGAGGAGAAACCCTTCAGCTGCTCCGTCTGCAGACAGAGTTTCAAACACAAAGTGAGTTTAAATAGTCACAAAAGATGCCACGCCGAAGAAAAACCTTTCATTTGCTTCATCTGCAAAGCAGCTTTCCCCTGGAAATACGCTTTAGTGAAACACATGAGAATTCACACAGGGGACAAACCTTATAGTTGCTCCGTTTGTGATGCGGCTTTTAAATGGAAGCCTTCTTTGGTGCAGCACATGAGGTCACATAGTGGAGAGAGACCCTTCAGCTGCTCCGTCTGTGGTCAGTGCTTCAAATACAAAGAGAATTTACACCATCATCAGAGGTGTCACACTGATGAAAAACCCTATAGGTGCACCATCTGTAACGCTACCTTTAAATGGCACAATGCTTTTATTGAGCATAAGAGAAACCACACGGGAGAAAAACCCTTCAGCTGCTCTGTCTGTGAGGCAGCTTTCATAAGGAAACGGGACATGGTCAGACACATGAAACAGCACAAATAATAAACAATTACTACAGTATTGTTTGTTCTTACACGAGTTTACTTTAAAGTAGGTCTATAAGATTTCTTGAATAGTACTATAGTTTTACACAAGATTATGTGTAGTAAATATAATACATGGTGTGAAGTTTAAGTTTGTATGTGAAGCACTTTATTGTTTTATGAAAATAACGTAGGTTTGTAAAAAATGTATTGATCTTTTTTCTTTTTATTTTGTTGATATTTGTAGGTATTAAATGGGGGATATTTTCTTTGAGAATAATTATGTATTACATCACAAAAAATAGTAATAAGAATTAGAGCTGTGCACAAAGGTGCTTTTTGGAGTTCAGCCACATCTTTATTAATGTTTAATTTATAACAACACATTGACGTTCAAGCATGCTGCCGAATATTTCTAAAAGGATGCAAGTAAAATAAAGGAATTTCTTTTTTATGATAATCTGTCAAATTGTAAATTATGTGAGATTACCATAACAACATTGACTACAATTTGTGTAATGAATATTAAAATAATAATAAATAAATACTTTCATCATATGTGTTTAGTGTTTCGTCTTCACCGTTTGAGCTCAATTTAAAGAATGGAGGATTAGGGTCACTGAAAAATAAAGAGAAATGTTTCAGAATTTTTTTTAAATTCTGATCTTTTTCTGAAGATTCTAGCAGTAATCTCAGAAATCAGACTATTTTCTCAGAATTCTGACTTACTTCTGAGAATATTGTAAAGGTGCACTATGAAGAAATGAAGTAAAATGACATCCTGTGGTAAGATTTGGTTACTGCAACCACTTTAAACAACTGGAAATTTTGCTAGCCGTTCTCAACTTACAATTGTCGGCGCTGCAGTATTAGTTCGCAGGAGACATGGCAACCCCACACTCACTGGTGGTAAACAGTAGTCACGTCCCTCCTTCCTTTGTTTTGAAAGGTGAAATAGTGACAATACCCCAGCCAGCTGGATATGAAATATGTGTCGGTATAATCGGGTGGATCAGGTGGCAGACCGAGGCAGGAGCCTTGGCGGTCCAATCCCCAGACAAGGAAACTGGTTTTTGGGACATGGAACGTCGCCTCGCTGGCAGGGAAGGAGCAGGAGCTTGTGGCAGAGGTTGAGCAGTACCGGCTAGATATAGTCAGACTCACCTCGACACATAGCATTGGCTCTGGAACCCAAGTCCTTGAGAGGGGTTGGACACTCTCCTTTGCTGGAGTTACTCCAGGTGAGAGGCGGAGGGCTGGGGTTGGCTTTTTGTTAGTCCCAAGACTCTCTGCTTGTGTGTTGGGGTTTACCCCGGGGGACGAGAGGGTAGCTTCCCTGCGCCTTCGGGTCGGGGAACGGGTCCTGACTGTTGTTTGTGCTTATGGGCCAAATATCAGTTCAGAGTACCAACCCTTTTTGGAGTCCCTGAGATGAGTGCTAGATAGTGCTCCATCAGGGTACTCCATTGTCCTGCTGGGGGACTTCAATGCTCACGTGGGCAATGACAGCTTGACCTGGAGGGGTGTGATTGGGAGGAACTTGGGAGCCCTGATCTGAACTCGAGTGGTGTTTCGTTATTGGACTTCTGTGCAAGCCGCAGTTTGGCCATAACAAACACCATGTTCGAACATAAGGATGCCCATCGGTACACTTGGTACCAGGGCAGCCTAGGTCGCAGGTCGATGATAGACTTTGTAGTCATATTATCTGACCTGCGGCCGTATGTTTTGGACACCCGAGTGAAAAGAGGAGCGGAGCTGTCAACTGATCACCACCTGGTGGTGAGTTGGATCAGATGGCAAGGGAAGATAACGCGCAAACCTGGCAGACCCAAACGCATAGTGAGGGTCTGCTGGGAACGCCTGGCAGAAGAACCTGTCAAGACGATCTTCAACTCCCACCTCCGGCAAAGCTTTGACTGCGTCTTGAGAGCAGTGGGGGACATTGACTCCAAGTGGGCCTTGTTCCACTCTGCGATTGTTGAGGCGGCTGTTGCTAGCTGTGGTCGCAAGGTGGCCGGTGCCATTCATGGTGGCAACCCTCGTATCCGCTGGTGGACACCAGAGGTTCGGGGAGCCGTCAGGCTGAAGAAGGAGGCCTACAGGGCGTGGCTGGTCTGTGGGTCTCCGGAGGCAACAGACAGGTACCGGATAGCCAAGCGGGGTGCAGCAATGGGAGTTGCCGAGGCAAAATCTCGGGCATGGGAGGGGTTTGGTGAGGCCATGGAGAAAGACCCGATCGGCTCCAAAGAGGTTCTGGCAAACTGTCCGGCACCTCAGGAGAGGATGGCAGCAACTTGCTCACACTGTTTACAGTGGGGATGGGGAGCTGCTGACGCCAACTGAGGCTATAGTCGGATGGTGGAAGGAATACTTTGAGGAGCTCCTCAATCCCACCTAGGTGCAGTCCGAGGAGGAACCAGAGCCGGGAGACCTGGGGATGGCCCTTAGCAGAAAGCCACCCACCCCATACTTCTGGAGCGTCCCCCACAGGGTGCCCCTGGGGACACTGTCATGAGCCTTCTCCAAATCCAAAAAACACATGTTGGGGGCAGAATTTGCTGAGGTAGTCAAACAACTACACAGCGGCGGAGCACCGGGGGCGGATGAGATTCGTCCTGGGTATCTCAAGGCTATGGATGTTGTAGGGCTGTCGTGGTTGACATGTCTCTGCAACATTGCGTGGTCATCAGGGGCAGTTCCTGTGGAGTGGCAGACTGGGGTGGTGGTCCCCATCTTTAAGAAGGGTGACCTGAGGGTCTGTTCCAACTATAGGGGGATCACAGTCCTCAGCCTCCCTGGAAAGGTCTACTCCAAGGTTCTGGAGAGGAGGGTCTGATCGATAGTTGAATCTCAGATTGAGGAGGAGCAATGTGGTTTTCGTCCTGGCCGTGGAACTTTGGACCAGGATTTGCAAGGGTGATGGAGAGGGTATGGGAGTTTGCCCAACCAATCCACATGTGTTTTGTAGATTTGGAGAAGGCTCATGACCGTGTCCCCAGGGGCACCCTGTGGGGGACGCTCCAGGAGTATGGGGTGGGTGGCTTTCTGTTAAGGGCCATTCAGTCCCTTTACCAGAGGAGCGTGAGTTTGGTCCGCATAGCCGGTAGTAAGTCAAACCTGTTCCCGGTAAGGGTTGGACTCCGCCAGGGCTACCCTTTGTCACCGGTTCTGTTCATTACCTTTATGGACAGAATTTCTAGGCACAGCCGTGGTGTGGAGTGTGTCGAGTTTGGTGGCAGGAGAATCTCGTCTCTGCTTTTTGCGGATGATGTAGTCCTCCTAGCTTCATCCAGCTCTGACCTTCAGCTCTTGCTGGGTAGGTTCGCGGCAGAGTGTGAAGCGGCTGGGATGAGGATCAGCACCTCCAAATCTGAGACCATGATTCTCAACCGGAAAAGGGTGGCTTGCCAACTCCGGGTCGGGAGAGAGGTCCTACCTCAAGTGGAGGATTTTAACTGTCTCGGGGTCTTGTTCACGAGTGAGGGTAGGAGGGATCGGGAGATTGACAGGCGGATTGGTTCGGCATCTGCAGTGATACGGACGCTGAGCCGATCTGTCGTGGTGAAGAGGGAGCTGAGCCAGAAAGTCAGGCTCTCGATTTACCAGTTGATCTACGTCCCAATCCTCACCTATGGTCATGAGCTTTGGGTAATGACCGAAAGAACAAGATCGCGGATACAAGCGGCCAAAATGAGTTTCCTCCGTAGGGTGGCCGGGCTCAGCCTTAGAGATAGGGTGAGGAGTTCGGACATGTGGGAGGGATTCAGAGTAGAAACGCTGCTCCTCCGGATCGAAAGGAGTCAGTTGAGGTGGTTTGGGCATCTGGTCAGGATGCCTCCTGGAAGCCTCCCTGGGGATGTGTTTCGGGCATGTCCTGCCGGCAGGAGGCCCCCGGGTCGACCCAGGACACGTTGGAGAGGTTACATCTCCAATCTGGTCCGGGAACGCCTTGGGGTCCTGCCGGAGGAGCTGGTGGAGGTGGCCGGGGAGAGGACGGTCTGGAGCTCCCTAGTTGGGATGCTGCCCCCGCGACCCGGACCCGGATAAGCGGAGGAAGATGACGACGATGACGTGTCGGTAAAATCTTCCTTCCAAAATGGCTGAAACATTAGACTCTTTGGAGATTTTTGTAAAATTCTGACTATATGTTTTACATACTGCACCTTTAAAGGCAGAGTAGTTTTCTCCCAGTTGTGGTGTAACACAATTTAGTGCAACACATGAGAATTCACACCTTTTAGTTGCTCAGTTTGCAAAGCAGCTTTTCAGGCAAACACTTCTTAAAGCAACACATGAGAATCCTCACTGGAGACAAACCAATTCAGCTGCTCTTTTTGTGACCAAAGCTTCAGTATCAGGAAAAAATGTAATATGTCATACAAGAGGTCACAGTAAGGGAAAACCATACAGTTGCTCCATTTGTTGTAAAGATTTTGTGAGACAGGATGCTTTGGTGGAGCACACAAAAAGACATGTAGCAGGATCACCATTCAGCTGCTCTGTTTGTAAAATAGACTTTTAGATCAGTACACACTTTAACTCAACATATGAGAATTCACACAGGAGAAAATGCTACTTAGTTGGTGGTGAGACACGCAACATTTATACATGTTTTTAAAGGCAAATCAAAATATTCTTTGATCTTATTGTTTCAAAATCTCAACAACTCTTCTATCAAATTCATGAGCCCTTTATTTTGAAGACAAACCGGATGTACTTGCGGTATATCAACG